AAAGAAGTAAATATATGTATGTGTGTGTGTGTACAACAAGGCTATCTCAGAATCAGTAACAAGCTCAACAGATAAGTTTCAGCACAAAAACAATATTATTTCAGTCACACACACACAAAAAAAGACAAGCGTGTGCAGCTGTCTTTCCTGAGTTACTTTCTTACTGTTTTCTGTTTGCTTTATCCTGTTTCCTGTTGAAATTATTTAGAGAATGCCTGCTTATATGGCAAACACTGATCTCACTTCTGTAGCTATAGCAGAACTTCCCTGCTCAAGTGTTTTATCATGTCACTGTCCAAGACATCTGCCTCAGACTTGAACTTCTATGAGACCTTAAAGAAAACTTCTTGCTTTGGCTTGCAGCCATCAGTGAACTTTCAGCTATGAACTGTTGCTTTGAAATACAGTATATACACCTTAGGTTACATAAATTAAGTCCCCACTTAACATTTTGAGCACTCTGGTCTTGATTTGTTTGCCTCTCCACATACTATTAGTGCCACACGATACATAAATCTATGGCTCGTTTTTGCATTAACAAGGCAGACCTATAGGATAACAGGTTGGTCTGATTGTTGGCAACTGTACTGCACAGTAGCATAACAGAACGCATTCAGCAGCCCCAGCATATTCCTGTCAAAGCCAAATAAGGAGCACAACAGCTTATTTAAGTCACTGGTAGCCATAAAGGTAACAAGGCAATGAAAAAATTGTGTTTTCTAAAAGCAGTAGCATCCAAGTAGGATTTGACTTGTCTGGATCATTTTGAGAAGGTCTAGAACCAAAACTGTGTTCACGCAGACACTATAAAATACAACTAGAAGAAAAAAATATGAAGTGAATGAAATCACAGAGACCGTTAGGACTCTAAGAAACAAAGAAGAAAAAAAAATTTACCCATTCCCAGATAACCAGCCCCATCCTTTCCCACCAAGCAGTTTTACAAAAGATCAGTCTGGATTAAGGCAGGGAGTTACTGTTGCGTGCAATGGGAAGAACCAGAGGCTAGAAGCAAACAGAAGGGCTATTGGTGCTGTCATCTGCACTTCTTTAATTCATTCCATCCTCCAACTCCTCCTCTGTCTTCACACTACCACCAGTTCCATTCACCTGCAGAAGTGATGAGCAAGATTTGCAGACTGTAACATTACAAGGCTGTTTGTAACAGTGGCTTTGTCACTGGAGCAATTTCATGTCCATTCACATGCTTTAGGGATCCTGGTTTGAGGTGGAAAATGAAGCCTCAAAGGCTGTGCTAGAGGGCATTTTCACCCTCATAAAAAAGGCTCTAATTTACATTTCTCCAAGTGTGACAAGGCCATGCATGGCAGGGCAAGGAGATGCTGCTGCTCACCTCTTGTGCTACAGATAATAGGAGCAGTGATTAAAGAATTACTGACAAAGTAACAGAGAAGCTTGTAATCTGAAGGCCTAGAGGTGGAGATCTTTGATGTTCTTCACCTGTTAATCATCTGAAGTGAAATTGTTTTTTACATGATTGTAAGCCATCATTCTTAGCTCCAGCAAAAGATTTGCTAAATATCAGGTTTTTCCTAACAGCAGCTTTTCTGCTCTTCTTTCCTCTGCATCTCATCCCTACCCTCAGAAACCCATCCAGTTAACCACCCAGGGCACCAGACATGCCACCTGACCTCAACTCTGCTGCTTACTCCACGGGCACATTGTTCCTCTTATTCATCATATATTTTGAACCTGTGTTTCATATCCACACTTCTCCTTTTACCTCCAGAAGAGGTGAAAAAATACCCATCCTTAACAAACAGTTAGAGAAGCAGGTGGTGGTAGTGGGAATTTGCCATTTTCAGCTTACGATCTGAATAAAGACTTCTGTGCTGCTGAATTTTCTGTTCTTTTCCCCTACATAGAGGTGTCTTAATTTCTACATAGGGATGGCATTCAGTCCTTGCTTCATACAGCTGCAGATCGTGTGGCTGACAGCTAAATGGCCAAGCTGAAGATCCTGCCTGACGTGGCTGTGGCTTTGGTGTGCCCCAGGATGTAGGTCACTGTCAGCACGCAGCCTTCCCCATCTCCCTCGCTCCCATGATGCATTTAGATGATGGTGCATTCACGTGACACACTTTCAGAATAGAAGTTGTAAGATGCTGTAAGATGCAAAACCTCTTTCCTACATAAATGATTTTTAATTTGTAATTTCATGACTCTTGACATCTGCTATATTGTTCTGTTTTACCCTCAACAGGAGGGCAGATCACAGCCATCTCCACTGCCAGAACTTATCTCATCATCTATAAACAGCCTTAGTCCTGGTTTTCAGAGGTGCAAAAGAGACTCCTAAGGAGCAAATGTTGCTTTGTTTTGATGTAAGAAGCACTGGAAAGCAGAAAACTCCTAGGATTAGGAGGCCTTGCACCTTGTGTCACATGATTGCAACATGCAATACTTCTCAGAAATATAACGTGCTCCATCTTGAAGCTGGGGTTATGTTTCGCCCTTCTCTAGTCCCACTGAGATGCCCATTCTAAAAACCTTGTTGTTCTAAACTTATTCCAATTTCTAGGCAGCTCAATAGTTAGTTGTAAGTATGCATAATAAACCAAAAATCAAGTCTGTATGTTTCAGCTCACCAGAGCAGGCAGCATAGGACATTTAGGGGGAAAAAAAAAAAAAAAAAACAAGCACGAAATACTAAAAGAACAAGAGATAGAAAAATTGTGACAAAAATAGGCATGCTAACTTGAAATGCTCTTTGAAACTGTAACTAAATAAAAATTAAGTGAACAAGCAGAATTTCATCAGCCCTACTCCTTGCTGGCCAGTTTAAGCATCTGAGAAACACTGTAGGAAAGAAGATTATATGTGCATTATTATTAATTTGTTTTAACTTTTTCTAGGTAAACTAAATAGCCCAGTCTGAACCTTGACCTCTGACTCCCATATTCTTGTCATATCTGGGTTATTAAAACCAATCTGTGTTCCAGTCTGAAACGTGGACCAGGAGACAGTAGAGGCCACAAAACTGTACTCAGTTTTGTCAGGACCTGTAGGGTCTTCAGGTATAAATAGATACACTTTGAAAAAATGTTTTAGGTTGACCTCCTAAACTTAGTGTTAGTTAGAAGTGACACTACCAGTGTTAGAATCTGTTTCAAAACCCATGAGATCTGCTTTATCATACATTAGTTCACTTGACAACAAAGGCCCGATTAGCCAAAAATTTGTTTCAAGTTCAGTTTTTCCAAAACTGATTTTTCAATGAATGGGAGCATTTGAATAAAAAATTCAAATAACAATAGATCTGGATCTGATGGGATTAGCTTGCAGCAACAAATTGGACATTTTCATTTTCATTGCACTTGCCGCAAAGCATTTCACAACATCATGTTGTTATCAAGCTAGGAGCAATGGAGAACATTCTTCTTATGACACTAACAAAATGACAGTTTCATCACCACTGCAAGCACTGATAGCTGCATTCAGAGCCATTCCCCATGTGATATTTCATTCTGGTGCTGTTATCTGTGAGCCTTCAGAACAGTGGGAAGAACAGAATGCAGGCTGAACTTCATCTCTTACATCCTTAAAATAAAAGAGAGGCAGAGAGAACTGAGCAACTGTAAGAGACATAACAGGGAGGGCATTGTCATTAAAACAAGTCTGGAAGTAACAAAGAACACAGGAGGAAGAGGGCTATGGTGGAAAACTAGAGGTGAATTTATCTTACAGCTCCAGACTGATTGTGGACTTTATATCTTCCTTTTTCAACACCTCTTCCCATTAGCCAAATAATTCTTCAGGTACCAGCATCTCAGTCATGGTCATTCCCTCCCTTTCTCTCCCCATTCCTTTCTTTAACTCCTCCTTGCACCTCTAATATCTTCACGGCAATAGTAACTGTTTGGGAAAGCAGGGAAGAAGATGCCAATAGTCAGAAGAACCCCATTTTAATCTCTGTAGTGATGTTATAGGAATTCCAACTCCCAGGGTAAACAAAAGGACATGGAATTCAAATATATTTTTTTGCCCTGGGTTCGGTTGGATGAGACACATCCAGGAGTCATCTCACTCAACTACATCATCACAAAAGACATGCTCACCACACATTTCCTTGCAGTCTAATACACAGATACTTTAAACTTAATTTAAAAGACTATTTTTTTTTTTTTACCTTACCCTGATTGCTATGAGCGGAGATGGGTAAAACCTTCTTTCAGAACGGAAACAAACATTTTCCTAGCAAAAACTGAATGTGCTCAGGCTAGGCACAAAAATGATAGAAAAGGGGAAAATCTGCTGGGGATTTAGCAAACCTATACTGTCACCACCCAGGTAGAGAACAAAAGCAAACACCGACCTCAATCTGCAACTTATTATCTGTAACTTATCTTCAAAACCTTTTGTTCCACCATATTTCTCGTGTTCTCCCTGCTTTAAAAGCTAAAGGCTTTAGTGTATGATTTAGCCAAACGTAACATAAGGGAACAGCAGCCTCCTACAGTGCAGCTTTCAACACTGAAGTCTATTTTCACAACAGTGTGGCTCCTTTTGCACAGAAGATGGGTAGTGAAAAAGTAAGAAACGGAGTTTAAAAAATACATACTTCGGAAAAGATCAAGATATACTGGAATTTGAAGAGAAAATGAATATGAAAATTTACAATAAACACAAGACTCATACTCGTTTTTGTACAGGGGAAAACATTCCCATCAAAACAGTGCACTGTCTTACACATAAACTACAGGTAGCTTTGTGTTACTACAAGAGGCAAGTTAACAACATACAATAGCCTTGTTTATTCAGGAAATAAAAATCCAGGGTTCTAATGTTCTTTTCTAATTGTTACAAGTACATTGCTTCTACCTTCTGTCTGATAATAACTTGCTCTGCAAGAGTGACCAACTGTAATGCAACGAAAAGCACAGCAACGAAAGCAGAGCAGCAAGGTCCTACAGCAAGTAAGGACATGCTCAAATGCAACAGTTGTGGGCACAGACTCAAAGGAAAGAGACACTGCTTACCTTTGGAAAGTCTCAGGTACACAGGGGTCAGCAGCAAGATACCTTTCCCTCTACTGCCAACACTTAAATGAGGTCAGGGAAGGGGTGGATCCTGGCTCCAGCCCTTCCAGTCATTTAAGTGCATTGCATGCACCTGAGCTCCCATGGGTTGGTCCTGCCTTCCCACCAGGTGCTCAATCACTGCTTCAGGCCATGACAGCATTCTGCTACACCAAGCTATGTGATACTTTCACATTAAGAACACATGGAGTCTTGGTTCCTTAACCCAGAAAAAATAAAGACAATAAAATGCCTTGTTAAAATTAATGCCTGCTTCATCTGATTCCTAACTTAAAAATCATCTCTTCCAAGCTTTCTTCCCCCTCTTGATCTTAAGTTCAGGATTTTTTTTAATCTTTACACAGAACTTTCTGTATGATGAGTATTAACTTTCTCACAAAAATGTACCAGTTACTGTAAGCACAACCTTAAGCACTCTGTTTTTCAATAGGAAAACAGAGGTGGTACTCAGCTCAGCTTCTTGTCATACACTGGTGTTTGGAGTTCATACTTCTAACTTTGATTTGAAGATTAGCCCTTTCTTCCTCATATCTTTGTTTGATTTTCTCAGTTCTGTTATCTGCTTTACCCTAGCATGCAGTATTACCACCACCTCCTTGTACTACTCACACTTGTTCTGCATTAGAATAAGCTGTGCTTTAATGCACTCATGTTAGCCCACGCACACCAGAGACCTTCTGTTGTAAGCAGTTTCACTTTGCTCGGCAACCTAAAGCAACCTACAATCACAGTGGTTGGAATCACGTCTCACATAAAATGTTTTTGAATGAGATTTAAAAAAAAAAAAAAAGAAAAAAGTTAATGGAACAAAGAATAATAGGTTTAACAATAAGCAAGTGGAACAAAACTACTTAAGATCACTCCCTTTTTTGCCTGCTGAACTTAAAAGTTACCCTGTAAATGCCACCCTCAGTGAAAATCATTAAACAGAATAAAAATACATCTCTAAAAACTAAGAATTTTCCTAATCACAGCATGTTTATCTGCATTCAGTCTCTGCGTGAAACTCAGAATGCAGCAGTGAGCAAAGCAACTGCTCTGTTCTAGTCTGTTCCCCGTGAAACAGATGAAATTAATGATTTTAACTATGGAACGTAACTCACATCTGCTACAACGTTCAGAAGTTCGTCTTCCAGAAGCTGCCCACCCAAGTCACTTTATTGTAGCTGCTGCAACTGATATCTCTTTGCGAATGGGAAGTATCAACTGGAACCACTTAACTCCAGATCCAGAAGACCATGAGGTGCCCTCCCCCATCGGAAGTCAGTGTTTTTGGTCATTTGCTAACTGGAAAGAAGTAATTTGCCAAAGTGCAGTGGTTCTGGCAAACTCAGAGTTTGATGGCTGGACTTGACCATGAAGGCTTTCCCAGCCCAAATGAGTCTATGATTTTAAGTATGAGGGATAACGAGAAAATACTCACTTGAAAATTCAGCCCACAATGAAACCAAAGAGTGAGCATTTCAAGAGTGACAATTTCTGTTTTTTTTTTTTTTTTTTTTTTGAGTTTTTCAAATTGAAACAGCATTTCAAAAGGCATCAGATATCAGACATTCACAAGGAAATTAATACCTGAGACTCCACTCCTCCTCTCTCAAAGACCCTCTCACCACCCTGGTAGCACTGGCCTACAGTCAGAGCTTGCAGCTATCCAAGTGCCTCCACATAGGGTTTGCATCACCTGGTGGCTACTGGAGCCAACACTGTATTGCACTTGCTGATAAACAGTAAGAAAAAGCGTTGTGAAAGAATACATAACTGCATGCCTACTACACACGTGCTTTCCTCTCCATATACCTTCCACATGTTCAGATCCTTTCTCCAGCATTCCAAATATTTCTGTGATTCTGTGGCTCACACCCTTCCCTGCACCGACACATCAAGGACAGCAACGCCTTGCACCAGTAACAGGGTGCATACACCACAAGACCCATTTCATCTTTAACTCACCCTGTGACCAGAAGAAAAAAACTCAATAAAAACTCACCTTGCTGGTTCCTCACGGGGTTCCCAAAGCAGTCCTTTTTCAACCATTTCCTGTGGTATTCTTCCCTGCCTCTGCAGCAAGGAGGGATGTAAAGCAGGGGGCCACGGCAGCCATGTTAGGGAGCTGGCTGGGGCAAGCCACAACCCCTTCCAGCCAGCTCAAGCACTGCTGGAAACAAACCTCCAGGCCCAAATCTTGTTAAGAAAGATCCTGGTAGCAACCTTCCCCAGAGGGGATATCATAATTGAATAGAGTTTTCATGAGGAGAACTGCTGCCTCAGCACCTGAGGGGCTGCTACTGCCCTGTGGAGGGAAGGGGCAGCTGTGAGGGGAGTGCAGCTGTGGCCCTGATAGTGCACTCAACAAATCTGGGCTGAGAGAGAATAGCAGCAAAAACAGGAAGGCTGAGACTGGGGAGGACACGCATTTTTATGCTTCTGTAGCATCATATTGCTAATAGAATGATCTCCACACTCACAAACTCCACAGATTGTGTTAAGTTTAGTGGGATAACACTTTGGTTGAAGATGAGCCTGCAAACAGGAAGTTTGGGGGTTTTGGCAATAAGAAACAAAAGTTGTTATTTATAAAACTTAAAGCCATTTTTTCAGGTAACGTGCATAAAGTAGTTCTTCTCTACTGCTGGATAATCTACCTCATTAGCGCAATGTACACATAAGGCTGCTACTATTGCAGCCTTCCAGTATCTAAAAGGAGTGCTGTAAGAAAGAAGGAGATAGACTCTTTAGCAAGATCTGCTGTGATAGGACAAGGGGAAATTGTTTCAAACTCAAAGAGATTTTGATTGGCCATAAGGAAAATGTTTTTTATGTTGAAGGAAGATAGTGAAAGACTGGCATGGGCTGCCTAGAGAGGTGGTGACTGCCCTGTTCCTGAAGGCACGCAAGGTCAGGCTGAGCAGGACTCTGAGCAACTTAGCTGTTTGTAGGTGTCCCCGTTCATTGCAGGGGAGTTGGACAAGGTGGCAATTAAGGGTCCCAACACATACAAATCTATGATAAGAGCATATGCTCTTATCCTTGGCATTTATTTTAGGTGTATATGGCTGTTCCCTGATGTCCAGGATAACACAGATGTAGGTGACTAGCAGCTGGCATTTTTAAGAGTCTGGTTGCTCTTCATGTGGAGAGCTCAGGAAAAAAAAAACTGGGAGTCTGAGCATGCAAGAATGAGCTCCATAATCTGGAAAATATATTTACTTAGAGGTCAAAGAGGTCCCTTTCTTCTATGTAATGTTTGTGTACAGTCTTTATGAAAAACCTAACTTTCGTGTTACATTGTGTGGATCAAGCATCTAGTGTGGGCTGCATTTCTGTTATTTACTCAGCCAGATTTTGCTGAGAATTTCAACTTCTAATATTGCAATTGTGAAGAGAGAATTGTATTTCATTCATACGTCCTCGTTTTCATCTGTGGAACTCAAAGCACTTTAAAATCATCTTTTGTATATTTGGGAGACAAGGCGACAGGTACAGATGTAAAGATGTGTTTGAAGTCTTCCTGCAGACCAGTAGCCAGAGCAGGAACAGAATTGAGGGACTCCAGTCTCTGGGTATACTTCTCATTTGCAAGAATTCTGAAGTACCTATAGTAACTGTATTTAAGAGGGAATTCACAGATGAAAAGTACTATGATTAGCAGTGTAGTTCATTTATCTACATGAGACACTGAATAATGAATATCCAACTATGGAAATGGCAGTCATATAGCTTGCTACTTTTAAAAAAATCTTATCTATTCTTTCATTTCACAGGTAAAGGAGTTAAAACTTTTACATTTAAAACTGTACGCTAATTAACTGCTTTTTGTTTGCAAGTTCCACCTGTTTAATACTGGTCTTGTGTGAAAAGAAGTCAGATTTAAGGGATAGGAGATAAAAAGGAATTTCCATGTCTTCTTATAATCCTTAAGCCCAGCACAGGATTTTAACACTCTTTCTCCTCCTCTTGTGTTCAAGCCCTTAAAGCTGTGTATCAGAATATTGACTGACAATGCATTTGCTGATAACACACCAACAGTAATGCTCCACTCCAATGTGGGACCCCTTTCACAGCCCCGGCTTCTTGTCTGTCTTTTGGGGACAGCAATCACTGTTTTCTTTTTGCTTGTTTGTTATTAAACAGAAGGAATAGCTTTCAGAATTTCTGGATGCAGGATATGTAACGTTCTTACTTGTACTGAAGTGTACAGAAGACCATGATGTTTGGGCAATAAAGCGAGAAAGGAAGATGAGCCCCTCAGAGACTGTGGCACAGTTAATATCCTATCAAAAAGAATGTGTTGCACGTTCAGTAAAGAAATATTCCTAATGTATTGGAAGTTTCTGCCCTCTACTGGCATTCCTGAAGATCAGTCTCAACCCAGCTGTGGGAGTCTGTGATCATATCCCAGAAGAGTCATCACAGATTGTGATGGAGACCAGCTGTATTTATGAAGCAAATCCTTTAAAGCATGGTGCTTCAGGAAGTGTAGGAATGACAGTGTCTGACAGGGATCTAAATCTCAGCTGACACTGGTACTGACTTCTGCAATGCTTTTCAGATGTCTGTCTACTTTTCTCCCATTGCTCAGCACTACAAAGGTTAGACTGACGCATCTCCGCATACTATTATAGTCCCCATCTGTTTTTTTCCATGCAGCCATTGAAGGGAAGAGGAAATACTTTTTGCTACTTTTTGTTAAGGTGGGGGTTTCCATTTTTCCATTTCACTACTGGAAGGAAAAGAAAAAGTGCAAGTTTAGTATAACGAATTATTTCAACAAATGATTTCACTGTGCAATTTTGGGTTAATTTAAAACTGCACCTGCTAACTCACTCAGATACCATCATATTCAGAAACCATTTCATGACGTTGAAGGAGGATCATTTCTTGGTGTGCAAAGCATAATTTTAAATCTTCATTTTGTGGCAACTGTTGTTAGCCAAGTTGCAGAAAGCTCATTTTCTCATAAAAAATACACATTTGAAAAACTAGTTAAATCTGTTGATAACTGAATTCTAAATGTTTTTTATCACTGACTGACTTCATGGTGAAACGTGAAAACATTTCATATGCAGCCCTGCAATGATCCAATAATCCCTGCTTCTGTAAAGCAACTGGTCTGTATGTGGATTGTGCTTCACAAGATGGAGAGCTCAGACTGAACAGCAGCTCGAGTTCTCACCCTCTCATGCTAGAAATGTTTAAAACAGCTTATTATCCAGTATTCTCAGATACTTTGATTTTCAGTGATACTCTTCCATACAATCTTATTTTGCACTTGTGCTTTATTAAAATTGATGTTTTCTAAATCTGTAGAAGAAAAATATTTATGTAGATTGGACCTGTCCCTGCTGTCGAGGAATTCAGGAGAAGTTATATTTTAAGAGGCATATCTGTACCAGTGCTACTGAGTCAAAGTTTGCTGCAATTCAGAGTAACAGCACCTATGTATACATGAAGGTACCATGTAATTGCATCACCTTTTTAAAGGCACCTTGGCTCAGGTCTGTAAACATTCTTTTTCTGAGAACAAGGGGTAGATTGCTACATCTGTAGAACAAGAAGGAAGAGGCTTAAAGAATCAGAGCAGGACTGATCTGCATGGTATTATTTGGGCTTTACTTTTCCCCAGACTTCACTTCTTCAATAAGTAGTATTATGCATCTTCAGAAGATTGTATAAAAAAAGTGCCTTACTAAACCGGCTCTATACATGTGAATTTTTGAACAAGACACCAGTTGTATTATGCTAAATATAAAGCTGCTACATTAATCTGCTTAATACAAGCATTTCAGTTAGCACATTTCACCACTCTCCCATTGCTACAGCCAACATACTGAATTTTCCTATTAGATGTATTTCCTCTTCTTACCCAGCACAAGCTGAGTGAGGACACCAAGGCGGACACCTTTTGTACAGTAGTTATTTTCTACCATTCCTCCCCCTTCAAACAAGAGTGAAAGAAGGGAAGCTCTGTTGCAGATGTGCCTGTTGTTACATTCACATTCAAAAAGGATCCCATATCATTTTCTTTTTTGATATTTTGATCTCTTCAGCAAAACAAGACTTAATTTCCATGTCTCTCCCTGTATAATCTCAGGGTTGGTTATTTAGAACCTCCAAGTTCTATTGGCACATGGCAAAAGCCATTGCCTTTTTTCACCAGCTTAATAACAACTTTAAGGTAAAGGTATACATTTGTAATTCAAAGATGCTTGAAGAGCCCTTGTAGCCTCTAGCAAATAAAAGATTCTCTGTTCATGTCTTAAGTCCCATTCACTGCATTACCATCTCCTCTAACAGCATGTTCTACAAAAACACCTGAGCCCAGCTGTGTTTCCAATTCAAGAGTTTGATCTGTTCTTTGGGGAAACTTCTGAGACCCAACTCAGTAAATTTGCAAGGCAACACAAGCAAATTGAAAGCAACTTGGAAATTTAGATAGCTTGGCAAAGGTAAGCCTTCAAATGATCTAAGTGTGTAGTATGATAACTTTTCAGTTTTCCAGAATAGTATACTAACACCTTGTGTTTCATTCCTCATCAGTGCCTTACCATTTTTATCTGCACTCTCAGCCTGAAGAAATTGCAAGTCAAACAGAAGGGTTGCTAGTCATCCAGTTAAGACCAAAAGCAGCTTCATAATTTGACAGTTCTTGACTGATTTGACAGGACATCAGATTTCCCCTCCATGCTATCCAGAAAAATAAAAGGAATAAAGGGACTGGCATACAATAAGAGGCAATCACACAGCCATCTGATCTGCTGAAACTGGCATGGACATATGTAAGTTTTTTTCTGTTGGGAAGTGGGGAAAGGTTTCCTGACATACGGCAATAGATCTATGCTCAACACAACCGAGAAGGCAATAAATAAATAAATACCTTTTTTTTTTTCTAAGCACATAGATAGAATTTGATGCAACTTCGTGTGTTCATTTTTCAAGACGTTCCCAAAAAACCTTAATGTTGGTTCCATGAAAGCCTGTGCTCAGAAGCAGCAATACTTTCATTCTGCAATCAAACCGTATTCCCACATAACGTAGCTGGATTAAAGAACACATTTTCTCCATCTGAAAGCCTGCCCCTATGCATGATTACCAGACCTTCTGCATCTCTACTACATTGTACACAAGCCTACTTTACGCAACATGACAAATATAAATTCCTTTGCCATTTCTAAACTGTAAATTCAGCTAACAAATTGATCAAAATATTACAGATGTTTGGATTACAGAGACAGTTCAATATGTAAAACAATATACATTTATTTAGCACAAAATATCATGTTCAAATAGAAGTGTACACTTTTTCCTAATATTTATGTACTAACACAAAGGCATTTGGCATAACTGCTGTTTTATCCTAGAACTGTAGGCCTGACAGCAGTTTATAAACTGTAAGGCAAATTAGGAACTCCTTCTCAAATTAGTAATCCCTATACAGCTCCACTAACTCCAGCAAAACATACAGAAGGAAAGTGTTAGAAGACTAGGACATATGATCACAGTGTTTCCTGTAATTACAGACAACATAATAGCAGGGGTAGAGCTATATTCCCAGACAGAGAAAGAAAAGACAACTGAAAGATTCACGGTAAGTTGCTAGAAATGCTAAGAGAGGTATCTAACCATTACATATGAGATTACACAACATTAATGCAATTCCCATTTCAGAGAAATGACCACATAATTGTCAGGATTTAGGACATCTGCAGACCTCAAAGCCTGCACCTTCAGATTAGAGACAAATGCATGATATATTCTGGTAAATAAGTGCAGATAGCTCACAACAAACAGTGCAGAAATACTACTTGAAATTTGATTCCAATAATGGCATCGTTACAATCACTGGATACAGACGACCACTCAAATTATGCTGGCAGACTTCCCATAGTTTCTCCTTTACTGAAGTTCCACTCTCTTAAGCATCCGACATCAAAGATGTGCTGGAACAAGTTCAGTCTTCCCTCCTGCAGTTATCACCTGGATTAGACTCCCTGAGTTTGGTCGATTCTTTCCTGTTATCCAGTCATAAAAGGTTCTATTTTTAAATAAACAGATAAAATAGGATGGGGAGGATAAAAATAAAAATACTATGAGACGCATCAACAGGAAGTATAAAATAAAGGCCCAATTATTTTTTTCTATCCCCCTATAGCAATTTCTACATAACATCAAACATTGCCAATGTCATCATCGGATTCAGAACTTCAGTCAGATAGGGATCTGGAGAAATCAGAAGCCCTATAGAACACACACAGGATTTTCAGAACACCTCAAAGGAAAAGGCCAGCTGTTTAAAATATCAAAGGTTTGCTCAAGTTGGAAAAGTAAATACACTGAAAGGGGGAGGCAGGAGCTATATAAGTTGCCTTTATAGTATACATCATGAACACAGACTTACGGCTAAAATAGGATTGGTAAACCTTGGAGCTGTTAAAAGTTACGGGTTAAATGACTGTTTTTTGTTCCCATCTCTCTGTATTCTACTCCTATTCTCTCCTCATGCATCCCTTACTTTTCAGCCTATGCAAGTACCCTTTCTTTACAAGCTGTTCTTTTTTAAACCATTATTCTGCCAACAGGGTGTTTTAACTGTGAAAAGAAGTCTTGGCAGAAGCACAGAAAGTTTAAGATATCAAAAATATGCCAAGTAAGATGGGCTCATTCTTGACAGCACACCAGAGCACTGCTTAACAAAATTAATAAAGAAAAAGTATTTTTCAGGTCTATCAACCTTTCTGTCATTGCAGACATAGTAGCTACCATTTTGGAACATCCAGCCATCTGACAGAGTAGTTTCCAGAATACAGAAGACCTCAAAATGCAAACACGATATGAGAAACATCCTTCCTGAGATGGAAATGTTACCAATGTTTAACACCACTGGAATTATTCCCTCCAACACCAGTGAAACTGTCAGTTTTCAAAACTAGATTCACAGTTAAGAGAATTAGAAACTAAAAAAAGCAAAACATTCAACCTAATTGTCCCACAAGGAAAATGATCTTTAGAAGTTAAAAGTTAATTTGTGCATAGACAGATTGTTAGGGCTTTTACAATACAGAACTTTTTTTTGAACATTTTTAAACTAATTGAAATCAACTGATTGGACCCTTGTAAATAACCACATTGAACAGCTGCACAGGCTTCTTGCACCAAAAACTATTTTCCACTCTGACATGCAACTGAAAAAAAAAATTCACATCACAAAGAAATCAAATGTCAATACTAAACTTCTCTGAGCAATCAGCATAAGGTGAAAAGGTGAATGTTATTTCAGTGTCAGTTTTAAAAGCTTTTAAATTTGTAAGAGAAAAGACATTTTGACCCCTACAACGTGTGAAGGCAGATATATCTGTCCTCAAAAAGGCAAGACAACTGCATCCGTGCTTTTCTGCTTTTATGCGACCAACCTCAACAGAATCATTGCTACTCCCCATCACCTCACAGAAGGCAGTACTTACGCACCTTCTCTGAGAGCAATTAGACACAGCAAGTCTTTTAGTCTCAGCCTGTTGTCCAATAAGCTACAGCTGAAATTTCTGCATTTTGCAACATTATGCAGGACAAGCCTTTATGGATAACAGAAGAAACAAACAAACAAACCTCTGACTGAATTATGCTAAACAAAACTAGGAATTTTTCCAGCTTTAAGAAGTGGATTACACCAGAAAGTGGGCAGTAAGAGATATCAAAACAAATAAACATCAAAGTTTACATGCTTATTTGCAGTTTACCTTTTAGCTAAACTACTGACTCCTGCACCTGCAATTTAATGTGTCTAGAGCCTCTACTCTGGATTTCAACTGCTTAAGACCATCTTATCATTGTAACTGATGTAGAGATGCTGAAGTTGATGGAGCTGGGCTAATTTAAGAAGCTTGCACAGTAGGCCCAACGTCATCTGGAGACCTACAGAATCAGGGAAATTATGGGAAAAAATGCCCAAATCCACGACGGCCATTTAGAAAGAGCAGGCAGGAAGATGCAACAGCAATGAATGCAATCAATATGAAGTTGGGTTGGTGGCTCATCTTTGGGGTTAATTTCCCTTTTACAAAGATTCTTCCAGCTGTTTTGCAGCTACTCCTGTTGTTAAATTTGTGCACACAAAGCTGCATCTACCGTGACTTTTATAGTCATTCTCAAAGTTAAAATGTGAAGAACAAGAAAATGACTACCAAGCTGGTAAGAACAATCTTTTTAATAGAGCAAAGAATTCGCTGAATGCTTTAAAAATTAAGCACTTTCTAAGTTTTAGGGGTTGGGGAGCAGGTTGATCATATCTGTTACAGGACAGCTATAATATGTTCACAGCCAGAGCCTATTTGTAGATTCTTAATTAAGGATTTGTATTTAGGAGTAAACAATATGACATTATTGTCATTGTCATCATTCCAAAAAAGGTGTCATGCAGTAGTTTCTAAGGACAGATGTAGAGATCTATTCTGAGCTATTCTTCAGAATATCAGTTCTAGAGAATGGAAAGGTACAGAAAAAGAATAGTGAGGAAGCCTTTCTCACAAAGTGAGATGATTGGTCTGGGCAGCCTGGTCTGGTGGTTGGTGATCCTGCACATAGCAGGGTGGTTGAAACTAGATGATCATTGTGGTCCTTTTCAACCCAGGCCATTCTATGATTCTGTGAAAAGCGACAGTAAGAATTACTTAGTTATCACGTGCATACTCACTCAGCAATGAATTCTAAGGATGTCCAAGAGCTGAAATCTGCATCAGGCATTGATTTCCTGTTCGCTGGTGTATCCAAGGTAACTCTGTGATTAAAACAAGATAAACCTTTATTTATTCATCATGTTTCTGATAAGAGCCACCTGCTTCTTTTCATTGCTGTAACATATGCTTGAATTTTATACCATGCAGGACAAATCTCCCTTGCTTTCTCTACACGTTAACAGCATATAACTATCAGTTTCAATGTACATCAAAGGCTAGAGCCTGTAACCCCTTAGTTCCCTGCCTTGTTGATGAGATCCAGCCCACCAGGCCTATCACTTAGCACACAACTCCCTCCCAGCCTCTCTCACACAGACAGTCTGTAGCAGTAATATTCTTGCCCATGTGTATCACACAGCACGTGCCCTACTACTATTGCCCTCATCTCTGCACTTGCAGCTCGATCAAGTGAGTACGTAGGACCAGTCAGTTTTGACTTTGATGACAGTAAAGGCTGAAGTCTTCAGAACTGTCTTATTGCTATGCTGTTGACAATACAGGGTATAATTACACTCAAGAACTCACTCAAGCATAGAGTTTTGCATGAGACCTGTGCAAATCCAGAATGGCCAAAAGTGCAGTGTTCTTGGTATCTGCCTGTCTGCAAAGCTCTGCAGAACACTGTGTTAGTGATCCCAGCACTCTTAGTGCTGTTGTTTTCTGACCTGAAGGAGTGTGCATAACAGTAAGCGTACTGAGGAAAACATGCAGCTAGATTTTGGGCAACATTCCAAATACCCATACAAAACTGTTCAGTCTTAAGTTTTGGCTCCAGGTATGGACCTGGCAAGATAAATAATTCTTGCAGCAATACCAATGGACTTTGATATGGTGAAGACCTACCGGTCCACTCATTTTTTTACTAACTTTTCTCAAAGCATCAAAGATAGCTATGACAGGCAAACGCAAACTAGATTTTTTTTTCTTGCAGAATCTCAAAGTGACTAATTTTTACTGATCAATCCCAGGTGCTTCTGTAGAAAATTTTCATATCTTCAGCTGAGCAAAAACTTGTCCAGTAATCCTTTCCTTGCTATAACCACACAACTAAGTCTAAAACTGTGCTGAACAGTCCTTTTCATCTTCTGACTGTACTGAAAAAGTGACATGTTAATAGATGGCTACTGTTAGAATGTTTAAAGCTGAATCAAACTCTAGCCCTAATACCCACTACTGTTTCACACAGCAACAGAAAAAAAGTTATTCACTGTTAGGACAACTTGTGCACTGCTACTTTTATATGTTCAAGACACTTCTCAGTCTAAGCTATTGGAGTAGCATGGACAGGACATCACAGCCACACCAGTGGAACACTAGGTTACAGCAGTAATAAAACAATGCAGGCAGAGGTAACTTTTCAAGCACTTACGGTAAAATAGCAACAGCAGCAGAACCAGATGGCAAGCCGCTATTGGCACCAGCCAAACTCTGACACAGCTGGTGCACTGCTCCTTTAGCCATGCCATAGCCAACCATCCCTAGCAACAAAAAACAGGCAAACTAAAGCACAGTTCTCAATATCATCAGTAGTATGACACAAACTCACATTATTTAATTAATAATAAATTTTAAATCACTTACCATGGCCAGAACAGAATCAGATTTAAAACATAAAGAAATATAATTAAAGAAAAAATAACATTTAAATTTACAAAAGAAAAACAAACCCAAACAAAATCTTAATAGACATCCAGGAACAACGAAAAAGCTTTGAGCATTACAGAACTGGCAAACTTATTGCTTTCAACATATTTAATTAACACTTCCGAACATACCCTGAAGGACCAACAGAGTTAACCTTACTAGTTTAGTTTTGTTGTTTTCTAAGTGTGAAGTGACTTTAATCAAGCAATCACCTGTTAGCTTCGAGCACAAGACTGAAGTATTTACATGTTTGGACCTGAGCAGATACAGCACACTTCTCTCCAGAACAGTAATTCACTGCAGCAGCATCCTAATTCTGACAGGCCCTCTGGAGAAAGCTACAAAAAACTAACAAGCAGAAAACCCAGCCCTGGCAGAAAGCGTCTAAACAACATGCATGTAAATCCAGCTTCTTCAGGAGCACTGCTGCTTTTTAGACAGCCAGTACTCAGCAGTGTAAGATGTATGGGAACGAGAGCATGCAGTGTACTGCTCAAGTACAAGAGCTGGACAATCAAGGTGCTACAGATCTCGGCTGTCTAATGGTACACATCTGCCAAGCAGCCTAGACATGATTAAACACAAAGGAAAAAGATAAATGTATTCTGTCTACTCCAACTGGATGACTTTCTACCTCTTTGTACAACTCCTTTCCAAAGTACCCAAGTAAGCATTTTGCAATGAAGGTACAAAGATAATCTTGCATTATGTAAACGTTTCTGTTATATTCAATTAGATATAGTGTATAATATCCACATTTATTTGGAGGAATCACTCTCAGCAGTAGCTACCTCATTTTATTTTGCTTTAAAATATTTACACTTCTATCATATTCCCCTCTTGTGTAAACCAAATACCAAGTCTTCTTAAACCTTTTCTATGTTTCTTAACCACCACTGTTGAACTACTTCCTGTAGCTATTGTATTATTTTCAGTTTTCTTCACTTTGCATTGAATGAGTCAACTTTTTCACACAGAAAAAGAAAAATCACAGGAAGAGCAAACAAGAAGAAGAGGATCCCTTCCTTAATGGCTGGAAATAACAAGCCAGCAAGTCATATTTGCAAAAGTTGAGTAACAATTCTTTCCCAATTCTTCCTGAAGTTAATAAGCTGCATGTGTTTGCCCAAAGCACTGCTGTGTTTTTTGTTTTTTGTTTTTTTTTTAAATCCAGACTCATTGAAAACTGCTAGTTGAAAACATGAAAGCAAATCACCAATTCTTCTGTTGTGGTCCCTACCTCCCAAAAAGACCAAAAAAACATGAAAGTTTGCCAAAGTTCACAAGATTTCATTTGTAGATGGTCAGTCAGTAGTAGACAGTAAATTATGCATCTGCTTATTCACATAAAATAAGCCTTTTATCTTCAGACCATACCAGATGCAGCTGTAAACTTAGAAGGTAAATCATTAACTAGAAAATACGGCGCATTTCTCCTGAACCACTTTAGATGTGGCTTTCAGGAATATTCATTAATTTTGTAATGTGCTTTACAGCACTAGTAGCCACGTCTCATCAAAGTACTGTTAAGTCACATTAGTAAATTGGGAAATAAAAGCATTTGTCTCAAAAAACTTTCCTTGCCTGTGGGCTTGTGTGCCTTTTTCTTTTAAATTGTTCCCAGATTTCTTTCCCCATGCAGATGGGAGTGAGATTTTTTTTTAAAAAAAAACCTTAGAAAAGTTTGTTCTAAGTAGGTTGGAGGGCAAAGCTAAAGGTCAGCAAGCTTATCTGTGCCTGAAGCGAAGGTGGACTGGAATCAGAACATGAACAGGACAAGCACATTTAATAGAATCAGCTGAGTCATCACTAGTAGAAAAACTGGGCAACGAGGGACTTTACTTTTTAGAAAGCAAATAAGAGATTTAATTTTATTTAAGCACTATACTTACAGCTTGTTGTGTACTTAACTATTTTCCAAATTATTTTTTACTCTATCGTATATTAGCCAAGTTCATTTCACCAATGCATATCAACTATTAACTAAATACTGATTCTGTTTGTGCTCCAGCTTCAAGAAATTCAGTGTCGCCACCTGTAAAATTACACTTACCTTAAGCATTTCAGCAGCAATTTTCCATTTGTAATGGATGTCAAGAAACTGGTAAATGAAACTACTCTTCATGAACAATACTGCTCAGATTAACACATAGGTATAACTACTCATGTCTCAGTAGTTACCATACACAACGGCATTTTACCTGGAGTTCCAGATAAAGCAGCTTGAGCTCCTGTCAAAGTCAAGAGACCTCCTTCTTTCAGATGTTTTGTGGCTAGGTGACTGGAAATAGTGGATGTCCAAACACTTTGTTTCCACATCAGATCACAGTTTTTGTACAAAGCTGATTAGAAATAATTAGTTACAGTAACTATAAGAAAAAAGATCCCCAACTCTGGTTTCCTTCCTATCACACACAGTGCAACAGTACTACACAAAGTACTATAATGATATGCTTTCAATTATTTTTCATTTACACATTGAGTAAAATATCAATTTATATCTTTCCATAACTTCCCTGCTGGCTGCATATAGTTACACTCCACTAGAATGCAGAAAGACGACTCCAAGAGATAAAAGAGTTAAATAAAAATATTTCTTATCAGATTATATCACAAATCAAGAACAATACATGTGAAAATAATCTGTTGGTATAAATGTACTAATCCATTAATCTGTACTGTACCAAGTGTGCATCCTAGTGCCCCTATATACTCGAGAGCAAATTCTACTGTAGCAGCCCATTAGGACCAGGGAGAACACCGGTAACTTCGTAAGAAAGCAAAATTCAAGCACTCGTCATTGTTTTTTTCTCCTTTCCATGCAGGTACTGCAAAAATGACTAGCCACATCAAAGATCTTACTGTTCAGAAAAAATCCTTTTCAGAACACAGCACAGAAAAAGCATGGGCAACTCATTGAGAGCAACTCAGTGAGATAAGCTGACCACTTGATTGCAAGATACACTGCTATCCCACCAGAAGAATTACTATAAATCAGGGTTATGACCAACCACCTTATTTCCAATAGCGTGCACATTTATTACAATCCAATATAATGGAATTGTGGAAATGCATTCACTTTGATTAAACTGTGTATGCCTTTTTACATTCTATTCATAGGTGAAAATTTTGCCTATAATGTCTGAGCTGAGAAATGGGAGGAAAATACTTTTTAACAGATTTACTCCATACAGAAAGCAAGGTGCTTTTTCTACTACTATTATTATTCTCTCCACTAGTAGGAAAAGCAAAAAATCACTCTCTGAACATTACCTGTTTAAAAGCTTTGTAAATCTATGGACTTTTTTTCCCTCTAGAGTAGTCTTGAATTGTTATCAGCTCTGAATTACATAGTAACAGCTCAGAGAATTGCAGCATGCAACTCCAGCTTTATCAGTAACATAGTGAACTGGGCAACAACATCCATGTTCAGCTCAGCTGCTATCTTAAGTAAGCTGCCTGCCTTGTCAAAAGTTAGTTCACAGATAATAATACTGCACTCCTTTATATGGTGCATCAAGATTTACCAGTAGAAAATGGTGCATTAAAAAACTCTTCTGAGAACAGTGAAAATGTAATGGGCCCCAGTAATTCAGAAACGAGCTAAGATGCATTGTGATTGAGCTCTTCTGTACTGTTAGGCTAACATTCCCTTCCAGACTCTGAAAAAAAGATGATCTCAAAGACTTTTATAACCATGATTTTTAACAATTCCTCTGAGATTTCATTCCTATATAAACTGACATGCACGGGCTTACATTTAGCTTTGGCACTGCCTCCAGCCCATCCTCCTGCTACACATAAGATCGCATCCACCTTTTCTTCACCAAGCAGCTTTCCAATCTCTGCTGTCACCTTCAAAACACAGAATAAAAACATTCTGAAGTCACTGGACTGTTAAGACAAAGGAATAAATACCAATGTAAAGAAGTAAATATCAAGATCGTGTTAAAGTTACTCAACTATGTAACTAGAGGAGAAAAATACAACACAAAGCAATTTAAACAGCTGCAGAAAACTAACAGGATCCATTGACTTGGAATAACCATATAAGATGACAGTCAGACATACAGTGTGTGATGTCACTGGAAATAACTGATTTGAGCAGGATCAAGAGATCCAACCCTTACCTGCATCATGAACTATCTTTTTTAATTATTATTAGCCATTTCTTTTTGAAGGTACCTCTCTGCATGTGAGGTCCCATTTAAGCACACGGGACAAAAAGCTCCAGATCTGCACAGAGCCGCTTCCACAACAATTCTGATGACGGCACAAGGAACAAACAACTGAACATTTGCCTTCTCACTGCTCCTGCCTTAATCACGCGAGCAGCGCATCGCACCACCGCACCCGAGACGGAGGCTTACGGACACACAGCATCTTTTCCTCCACAACCGGTAACGCAGCTGGTTATAAATTTCCTGCGCCGCGAGGAAGCGGGACCCCATCGCAGCCCGCAACCGCGGCACCGCCCCCGCGCTCCCACCTGCTCGGCCTGCTCGGTGAAGGACTCGGCGGCTCTCACCACCACGCTGGCGCTGGCCTCCTCGTTCTCGGCCAGGTCGATGCTGGCGACCCACTGCGCGGCAAGAGAGCGGTTAGCGCCGGCCCCGGGACACGCAGCTCCCCGCTGCCCAGCCGCCGCCGCCTCCCCGCACCCCGTCCCGCTCCCGCCCGGCGCGCACCCAGTTCCTGGACTTGAAGTACTGTACGCACTGGGACCCCAGGGCCCCTCTACCGCCGTACACCAGCACCCTGCCCGCCACAGCCATGCTCGCTGCCAGCGACCCGCCGCCCGGCAGCTCAGCTCAGCTCAGCTCAGCTCGGCCCGGCCCCCCCGCCGCCGCCTGCGCATGCGGAGCGGGGCCAGGTCCTGGCACGGAAGAGCTCCGCCCGCCCCCGGGGGCTCGGGCGAAGAACTCGAGTCTGCACGTCCCAGCGGCGGGTTGTGTTACTGCCCTCGGGGACGTTGGGAGCGTTAATTAATTAATTAATTGATCGATCAGTGGATCTATAGGGCTTGAGTAGCAGTAACCGTAGAAGCCGGCCCGGCCGTGGCTGTGTGCAGGTGGGGCGCGCACAATCACAGAATCATTGCGGCTGGAAAAGACCTGTGAGATCACCTAGTCCAACCATCAGCCTGTCTGCACATGACCAGGTCCCTCAGTGCCACACCTCCACGTTTCTCGAACATCTCCAGGGTCAGTGAACCCCCGCCTCCCTGGGCAGCCTGTGCCAATGCATCACTACCTTTCACAGAATCACAGAATCACAGAATCACAGAATTGCCAGGGTTGGAAGGGACCTAAAGGATCATGAATCTCCAACCCCCCTGCCACATGCAGGGCCACCACCATTCCACCTAATGCTAGACCAGACTGCCCAGGGCCCCATCCAATCTGGCTTTGAACACCTCCAGGGACGGGGCATCCACAACCTCCCTGGGCAGCCTGTTCCAGTACCTCACCACTCTCTCCGTAAAGAATTTCCCCCTGACATCCAACCTAAATCTCCCTTCCCTCAGCTTAAAACCATTTCCCCTTGTCCTGCTGTACCTTTCTTGAGGACAATCTTTTTTTGTTTTTAATTTCCAACCTGAACCTCCCCTGGCACATTCCCTCTCATCCTACCGCTGTTACCTGGGAGAAGAGACCTACCCCCACCTGTCCACAACCTCCTTTCAGGGACATGTAGGGCGATAAGGTCTCCTCTGAGCCTCCCCTTCTCCAGACAGAACAATCCCAGCTCCCTCAGCTGCTCCTCTAAGACCTGTGCTCCACATTAGCAGTCCTGTGAGCTCTGGCGGCAGTGACATTTAGGCTGACACAGAGTAAGCACCAGGAGGAGCACGCAGCAGAGATGTCAGCAAAATTCTGCTGTCGATTTCCATGCTTGTAGTGCTTTGTAGCTAATTATGCTTTTAATAATCTTAAATAAATACAATTCTACTCCTCATTTTCTTCCCGTGTGGTTGTGGTATAGATCTCAATGTCATTTGAGCAAGACAATTAAACCTCTGGTGAAACATTAGCTTTGCAATAGATATAGGATTACTTTCTGCAGAAAGAAGCACCGTGGCGCTGCAGGGTAATGAAGCCGATGTTTGCAACCATCTCAGGATGCTGTCGTAGCAAGATGTATTTTTGGACTCGATTTTTAACCGTACAGTTTAATTTCTGGAGCTTCAAAATATAATGAAATGTATTTCAAAATACCTGCTGTTCAGTTGTGGATTTTGGAGCAAATTGGGAATGTGCTTAATTGCTGCAGAGAGGCCTTGGAGATGACTCCCTGAGACCACTAGGATGCCTGGCTGTTTTAAAAAGACTTTATTTGCCTTGGCTTCTGCAATAAGTTTTGCATCTTTTATCTTGATTGTTGTTGCAATGGGGACCCCGAAGTGGATGACCGGGAAGATCTTGTGCAAAACAGGAGCTGAATTAGTCAATGCCACAGATCCAGAGCTGATCAAGTTCATTGGAGAAATTTACTATGGACTCTTTCGAGGCGGCAAAATACGTCAGTGTGGGCTGGGCGGGCGTCGCTCCAAATTCTCAGGTAAGTGCAGTTGTGGTTGAATCCCTAACTTGAATGTCTGTAGTTCAGCTCTAAAGGCACTCCGTTTTGTTTGCAACACTTGTAGCATGCAATTCATTATTATTAAACTGGCTTTCTTGTGGTCTGTGTGATTTGGGATTTGGGTGGGAAAATCATGCTAGATTTTTTTCTCTGGTTATGTTCCATAATCCTGGAATCAAGAAACAAAGCCCCTAGGGTTCGATTGAGAGTTTCCCTTTAGTCTTGAAAAATGAATGAAAGTTACTGCTTGTGTCCCAGGCTGAGCTGTATGTGGTGACCCTGTAAGTCACGCTACCCCCTTAACTGAAGCTTTCCTCTGATGAGTGTTGCTCTGCAGTATTTCTGTGCCTCTAATGTTGCCTCCTTTGTTGAGCTCCTCACTTTCTTTGTGTGCCTGTGGTATTTTTTTTTTCCTTTAAGAAGTGCAGATGTATTTAGCTGTCCACATTGATGCATTTCTCAATCTGTCCCAGTGCAGACGTTTTCCATTGCAGATCCTCCTAACTATTAACGTGTTGAAGAAGTTTGTAACTTCTTTTCTGGTAACTCTGAAGACAAAAAAATCATTGCTGAATGTGGACTAGTCACATTTCAGTAACCAAAGTGGCTGGCAAGTAGGAAAGCAGGGCAAAGTTGTCCTTGCTCTGCTTAGCTGCTGTTTCTTTGCAAGATATACAGAAATACAGTCCCATTTCCGTTAGCCTATCCACAGCAGTGACACAAAATGATAAAAAAGGTAGCCAATACCCTTTTCAGTCTTTCTACAACTTTCTGGACTCATCAGTATACTTTCTGATTAATTACAGTGTAAGTTGAGAGGAAGGCCTAGCATTCCACCATCACTATGGAGTGTATTGATACATATCTGGAGGATGTGATCCTATCCTTCTTGGACAAACAAAGCTCTCAGCTAATAAGAATTTTCCCAGTTAGAACTATAAAATTGGGTCATTAACTTCAGTGGACGCAGCTGTGTGGTTAGGAAAACAAGTGTGCAAGAGATTTTCCTTTTAAGTACTTTAATAGCTCTATAAAGGTTGAAAACTTTGCATTACTGGCATCAAAATCATGGTAGTACTACAGAATTGTTAGACTCACCTCCTCCTGGGGGTGTTTCATTCATACGGCGTCACCTATATGTGAATCATGTGGTTTTTCTGGAAGTCCTAAGGCACATAAATTGGTGTGAGATGCTTATGTTTTGACATCTGAATCAAGTGCTGGGAACGAGCTGGGGAAGCAGACATTTGTCTGTGTGCATGGCAGGCACAGCTGGAATGTGTCAGCAGCCCTCATGGCAATGTTCTTCCTGAAGATTCTTTCTTCTTTATTAAACCAGGCTTACTGCTGTTGGATTTGGAAGAGAAGCAAAAGAATCCTTACAACTACCCTGATGCTGGTTTATAATAAAGCTAAAAACTTGCTTTTTTACTGCCAGTTATTTTCCTGTGAGAAAGTAAGCCAGTTTCTGGCTTCTTATTTCACAGAATCACAGAATTATATTGTGAAACCAAGAAGGGAATTTGAAAAGTGAAACCTGCGAGATTAGGAAATGTGAATTTAGAGTAGATCTCACTGGAGCCAGTAGGAAGAGAGAGAAAGAAGAATCACATGAAAAAATAAATCAGACAGGAGCAACACCTTTTCAGGCAGCAAAGGCCTGGATAAGGAAACTGGGACTTCTGGACTTCTAAGAGATGAAATTAAAAGCATGGAACAGAAATGGGAGACTGAAAAAGAGGAGTTTGAAGCAGAAAACAAAGGTGATTAAGACATTAACATAACAAGATAAATAAAACAGTACTTAACCCTGAATCCTTACTCACAGGTCCTCTGTGAAGGATTTTTCCCGTGGCAGAATATATCCTGTTTGTCTGATACAGTGAGAAATAAAGCATAATGAACTGAGATTAGGGTAACCACCTGATTGCTTCTTTAAAAATAGCCCTGTTTAGGTATAATTTGAGTTTGTTGTATGAGCATAGTGTGCTGTTTTTATTGTTGTCAAGAAAAATTACACACTGAATAGATGATTTTTTTCTTGCCAGTTTTCCCACATATGGTGAAGAAACTGAATACAGGCCTACATGTGATGATAATAATGTTCCTTTGTGTGGCCATTTCCTTTTCTCTGGTCAGTTTTGGATTCTGCATTCTTAACGCAATAAAAGTTCCTTACCGAGCTATTAAGGGTCCAGCAGGAATATGCCTTTGGAATTTCCTTGCAGGTAAAATAATTTACCAGTATTTTTCATCAGGTCACATTTGTAAAAAAAAAGAAAAATGTTAACAGCTAAACTTCTGTTGCCTTACTAAATATCTCCTTGACTTAAATATTTGTGAATAAAATGAAGTTGCAGTTAATTCTCATCTACCAAAACAGATGTGTCACATGGCATTTCAGCTTATTGTACCTAGTCAACTTATTACATGAGCTGCAAATGTCCGTCTTTACAACCACTGATAAAGGGACTTCGTTGCAAGCACTGGTATAATGCTTGGCCGTACAATAAAGGCTCAGCATTTTGAAGATATTTAAGCCATGCCCAAGTCTACCTCATTCTGCTCACTTTTGTATTTAGTCAGTCTTTCTGAAGCACAACCAAAATGTTTTGACAGCAATGGTGAATGCTTCTTTTGTTTTGTTGCAGGTGGATTCATAGCTCTTGCACTCACCGGCTTTATGGCAGCTGTAAAACTTCACCGTCTCACAGAAAGAATTGCCAATTTTCGGGAAAATGTCTTTCAATTTGTTATCTTAGAAGAACAGTTTGAAGATTGTTTTTGGATTTGTGTGGCAAGCGCCACAGCACATGCAGTGAACTTGCTGCTAATAGCCATTAGTTGTATTAATTTCCCTAAAATTAAGACTAAAACAGAAGAGGCAAATGTTACAGCTGAAGATATCATGTACTAATAAATCTACTTAAGATTTCTTTGGTGAAGAAAACTGTCATGTTAGAAATGGCTTCTTGGCTTTTCCGCTTCTGGCTTGGATGGAGAGTTTTGGTTTAGACATGAGTAAAGTATGCCAAGTATGCAATTCTGCAGTATTTTTTAAGGTCAGTCTACAGCACCAGCAATTAGCACACATGGAAAAGTAGGATGAACAAATGCTACAAACATTATTTTCAAAAATGATCTGTATGTGCAATATATGCTGCTAACAGTTTTGATAAAACATTTTAAATACTTTAGAAAAATAAGGTGAATAATAATTTCTCCTAAACCAAATGTCTTTTTCTTTTTTGTTTATAAAGAAAATATTTTCAGCATAAACCTTTGAAAACAGGATTATTACAGAACAAAAAGACTGGAGGTTTGCCAATTACCTTCTCAGAATTATCTGGAAATGTTTAAGAGAGCCAACAAAGACATGTTTGATGATGATAAACTGCATTGAAGAAGGAGACCTCACTATCTGTGGGGCTAAACTTAGGGGGAAGCACAGGCTAAGAGTGTGTGATAGTGTTTAAAAATAGAAATTATCAAACTCCACAAAGTACAGAGGTGAAAAGAGTAAAGTTTATGGGATGCTGGTAAGCTATGAATAAATGACTAGCTGTATGATGAAGGTTTCATTGCAAGTTCTGGAAGTAAAGTAAATGGAATCTAAGTAACAGTGCTTTTAAATAATCTGAAAAGTGTAACGTTAGTGATCTTCAACCTCCTGTCAATTCCTGCTTCTGTCTGAAATCAAGCAAAATAAATATATGATGAAAGAGGACAAAAATGAATAAAAATGGTTACATGGATGGAAGATACCAGGAAGTACCCTAGTTCTGACAAGCATTTAAGCAGTTCTTGCACCACAAATAATTAATACTTCACTGAAAAGAATATGCCATTAAACGTGTCCTTTTTTTCTCCTTTCATTACTATAGTGAACATAGCAATAGGAACTACAGAAAACTTATGAATCTCTTTGAATGAATGAAAGGAGATATTATCTAAGTTAATGTAAATGAATTATTTTGTAGTCAGTTGCACTTTGTCAGACCAGCATGTTGTGTGACTCCACTCTTGTGACAAGTTCTTTGAGAAAAATAGTAACATTTGTAGGTTTAAAAGTGTTTTTAAAACATCTCAAGATATATAAAAAAAAAACAAATTACTTTTTCATTTGAAAACAGCTCTTCACAAAAATAGTAAGGGTCATTTTCAGTAGTGCCTAACACTGTGTTTTATGTTCCCAAATAACTAGTTTTATCACTGAATTGTGCAGAACCCTCAGTAAAGCAAGTTACCAGAATAAGCTGATATTTAACATTTTTGCTGACTAAGCTGCTTATGTAGGTATTTAAATGAGGATAACTCAGCTTAAGTCAATGAGTTTAAAATCTCTGACCCAGATACTTATTTTCCTCGCTCTTTTTACTCTGTTTACATCTAAAGACCAATGAAAAAAGCTGTCTTATGAGGGAAATTCTACTTTCAGTTGATATTTTTATAAAATACGTTTTACTATTGTACACAGCAGACTCAAGCCACTGAATGCTGCAGCAGTTTATGTGCATGCTCTGTGTGAGGTAAGAAATTAAAACGATTCAATTCATCTTCAGCACATACTCAGCATGACCAGCAGGCATTTGGAAAGGCAGTATCACAGTTTCAAAGGAAATGTCATAATCCAAAGTCAATCTATAGTTGTACTAAGCAGTTTCTCTGTATACCATCTCTGGTTTTGGTCCTACAAGGTCAGCAGGATTATGAGTGGAGAACTTTCTGCACCTGCTGTTGCAACAGGTATTTATAATCTCTTTTCTTCAATGCAGTGTTAGCCACTCCGTTTTTCTTTAGGAGCACAATAAATAAATAATAAATAAATAAGAGTTTCAAAGTTTTGGTAAGTCTGAAGCACTTCCTATAATTTTAGCATAAAGATAAGGCAGAAAAAAAAATGATTCCTAATTTATACCATATACTTCAGCGTTCAAATGTCAGTGGTGTTTTCATCCAACTCTACAGTAAGTCACAACTGCAGGAGGATGGTGCCATACCCTGTTCATGGGGAAGCAGCAGGTTAACCCCTTCTGTGATGGTGCCTTTGGTGCTAACAGCACAGTGCTTCTGTGGTACCACCACCTTCCCCTCCCAGAAAATTCAGAGTGGCTCTGAAATGCAAGACCTTGAACTGACAGATAACTGTGCAAACAGAAAATGAAATATCTGTTATTTGTAAACGTTCTATGTACATATAATTCAGAAGTAGTTGTTGTACAAAAATAATTATATTGTGACATATAACTTAGCCTCCACTAAATGTAACTCTCTAGGAAGTGAAAAGGAAGCAGATTAAGAGGTGCACTGTGCTGAAAGATAACTTTGGCAATGCTTTTCAGTAGTAGTTGTGTGTACATACTCCCAGACATTTTCCTTACTGCCAGTGGAATATGTAATGCCCCTAAGGCTTCCTCAACAACTATCATTTAAACTGTTACTGAATAAGAGCTGTGGGACTACTTACTCGGGTAATGGCAAGATTGCTGGACTGTTGAACTGGATTCCTTGGCAGGCTGCAGCAGCTCTGAAAGAACCAAGAGAGAGAACTGTGTAAGAAAAGGACAGCTGTGCTGACCAGCTTTTGAGTCTTATTTTGAATCTACTCAACAATGGAGCACATTGTGCAGTAATAGTCCAAAAGATGTCTGACACTAGAGCTATGAAACATTTCTGAATCTAACAGGGGGATGTTATAGCTGCCTGAGCTGAATGATGAAATAGCATTGCCATCCAATTACTGCTTGTGAGAAAACAGTATTTTCAGTTCTCTTTAAAGTGAACAGAAGTATTACTTTGCATGAATCAAACTGAATTGAACATATATACAGCTAAATTAACATTTCAGCTGCACAGGTTGTCACAGTTAAGCACAGCTGAGACATATTGATGGGAAAATACATAGAATGTTTGCCCTTTTGTTCCCTGTTGGAAAAAAAAAAAAAAAAAAAAAAAAAAGGTTAAATGCAATCACACATAGTTAAGCTGTGTAATTACAAAGCACTTCTTAAGGTTAGCAACTGCCAATGTTACCACTTAGGCCTTTTCAGCTTCCCCTTTTACGTCCTAAAACACTTTCAGAAAATCTGGAACTTGGTATATAAAGAGTGATTTACATCAGCTACACTTCAAATAGAGATGTGCCTAATCACATGCATACTCAGCATGTGGAAATGAAGGCTTCTTTGGGGGAACTTTTTACTCCGGAAGATTTGAAGCCCCAAGTGGGTAAATTTATGAGGTATTTGCCATCTGTGAAGTATTCGTCCAGAACTTTAAAGAGATAACACATCAAATCCTATTCTTCCATAGAATTAAAGACTACTTCAAATGCTCTGAAAACATTCATATCCCTGCAGAGTATGGAGATGCTCTGTGAAGGAGGTAGGGAAGCTCAGGGGCCATTCCTCAAAGAACAAAGAAACTATTATTTGTTTATAAGAATCTCTCCAAAATAAACAAAGATAAGAACTAACTACGCTTTGATTCTTTATTAATGTTATGATTTAACGTTAAAAATAGATGCAATTTCCATCAGTCATTTTCTCTGAGTGACATTGCCCTTAATAAGGCTCTCATACCAATGATACTGCATATCAGCAAACCCCAACACTTCTTATCCATGTGGTGATTTTGCTAGATAAACATACATCTACTTCTAGCTGAATTTTTCTGACATAACCACATACATTTTATTTTGGAGGGGTGAGGGGGAGGGGGGGTGTAGGATTGGGGTTGCATTTTGTTGTTTAAATTTAATGCAGGGATTATAGCTGCTTTCTCTCAGAACCTAATGAACTCATGCCAAGATGTTATCACAGAATCGTTTGAATTGGAAGGGAACCTTACAGGCCATCTAATCCAAGTGCCCTGCATTGTGCAGGGACACCTGCAGCTGGATCAGGTTGCTCAGAGCACTGTCCAGCCTGACCTGGTGTCTGTGCAGGCATGGGGCCGGCACCAGCTCTCTGGGTGACCTGTGCCAGCGCCTCACCATCCTCATCATAACAAACTTCTTCCTTACATCCAACCTAAATCTCACCTCTTTTAGTTTGTAACCATTTCCCCTTGTCCTGTCACAACAGACCCTGCTAAGGAGTCTGTCCTTTCTTACAGAACCCCTTCAGGTACTGAAAGGTTGCACTCAGGTCTCCTTGGAGCCTTCTGTTCTGCAGGCTGAACAGCCCCAGTTCTCTCAGTCTGTCCTCATAGGAGAGGTGTTCCAGCCCATTTTTGTGGCCCTCTGGACGCGCACCAACAGCTCCATGTCTCTCCTGTACTGAGGACTCCACATCTAGATGCAGCAGTGCAGGTGATGTCTCAGCAGCAGAGTATTGGGACAGAATCACCTCCCTCGCTTTGCTGGCCGCAATTCTTTTTATGCAGCCCAGGGTACGGTTGGCTTTCTGGGCTACGAGGGCACGTTGCTGGTTTACGCCCAGCCTGAACACGCAGCCTTCTGATATGGCATACAAGCAAACCCCTGCCCGTCGCGGGACAACGTCACTGCGCAGCCCCGGTACCCGCAGCAAAGCTCGCTCTCAGAGCCCCGCCCCCCGCTGCCCGCCCTCCGGCCCGGCCCCGCTCGGCGCGGGCTGATGAGGCGCGCGGTGCGCCGGGGTCAGGTGTCGGCCCGCCGCGCGGCGCTGCGTGCCATGCTGCTGCCGTGGGTGCGGCGGGCGGATGCGCGCCGCCTGGCCCGGGTTCTGCCTCTGCCGTGCGGCTGCTCGCAGCGGAGTCCCCCGCCGCGGGGCTACAGCCGGGGGGCGGGCGGGAAGGTGAGAGGTGAGAGAGAGCCGCGCTGCTCGGGGATCCTGGCTGAGATCCACGTCTGGGGGCCCGAGAAGAAAAAGCTCTTTGTACTTGTAAATTACAAATTGGAAATGTTTTCGTTAGTAGAGGCGCAAAACGATCGTTCCTTTAGTTACTCTGTATCTCATCTGTGGCTGTTCATCCTGCTCGACCGGCGTCGCTCTGCGCTACAGCGGGAGCGCCGTGCTCGCCGTCTTCCCCGATCCCTTGTCTGCACTAACGCGTGCCCTTCCGCAGGGCCTGTTGCTGGGAGCCTACGCGAGCGAGCAGGAGGGCGGCGCCGCTCAGCTCAGCGCGGCGGGGGACGCGTTCGACGGCCGCGTGTCCGGGAGGCTGCGCGAGCTGCTGGCCGCGTGAGTGCTGCGTGCCGCGCTGGAGGAGATGGAAGCGCCTGTAAACGCCAGCAAGAACGGGGCGATCTGCTCGGTCCTTGTTAGCGTTTAAACCCGTAACCCTTCCCAGCCCGCGCGGCTTGGAGGGAAGTTCCTAGGGAAAGAGATGCGCAGTATCTGTGGGGACTGCTCTTTATCGGGATGAGCCGGCGCGGTGCGCAGGAGCACTGTGTGGCTGTGGGGTGAACGCAGCAGCACAGCTTTGTTGCCATACGGACCTGTTCACTGAAAGAAGCTTCTTGTGTTCTAGATGCGGGCCCCCTCTGAAGAAAGGCAAAGCACGCATATTCCATGGTTTGCATCAGGTACGGACAGTGCGTTTTCATATGTGCATTTCTGATGTGTGAGATTTGCCCTTATGTCTTACTTTAAGCTTGGTTCATTGGTGTGCATCACAGATGTGATGTATCACCCGCTTCAAGGTACACTTCTGGTGCCATTTGAGAGGTCCTAGCACATCTCATGTCTCTGTATAGAGCTAGCAAATACGATTTGTGCCTTGCTGGAGTGTGCTAGGCAGCTGCTAGGCGTCTCCGTGTGAGTAATTGCATCGTATGTTAGGGCTATGTACATGATTTTAAACAAATCAGGTTGTAGGAATTATTGCCTGTCACCTCTAAGTTCCCATGTGCACAACAGACAAGCGATGTACCCAGCTGAAAGGCTGTCATGGATTCGTGGAAGACTCCTGAAAGGTCCCACTGCCCCAGCTGTACAGCCAGGATGGCTCCTGAAGTAAGCAGTAAATCTCTGCAGATGAATGCAGTAGAACGTGGCCTTATGCACTCTTCTAAATGTGTAAGATAATAACAGCTAAAAAAAGGTAACTTGAATCATTGATCTTCTGGGAAGTTTGCACTAGTTCCACATTTTGAGGATTAAGACACTGTGATGTAGTAGCCTGAAAGCCAATAGAATCTAACAGAGCTGCTATTTGCAATGGAATGGTAAGGGAAAGTCTAAAATTAAAGTACTGGAAAATCTATTCACATACATAACCTTGAGTATGGTTTTATACAAATTTGAATTCATCCATAAAGGTCTTCTTTCATCTTTGCCTTTTTGCCTTCCGCTTTTGGTTTGTAAGGCAAGTGTTTTTAGTTGGTTGTGCTACGTGGCTTGCCTGAATTCTGGATCTGCTTACCTCTGTGCAGCTTTGGTTTGGCACTTGGCTGAATGTGCCAGCTCCACTCCTGAGCTGAACTGGTAGGCTTAGGCTTTGAAGAGACTTTTTTAGATTGAATGTACTACTGAGCTAAAATGGTTGCACTTAGGCAGCTCACATCTGGCCTCTGTTCTGCAGCAAAAGCTGGATTTGTTTTCAAGGCTTACAGACTTTCCCTTAGAAGTATCTTTTGCTGTATGGTGAGCATCAAGCCGTATCTGCTACAACACATGTAATTAAGTGGACAACCTGCCCAACTGTTTGGATCCCTGTGGCAAATGACCGAGAGTGGAAGACGGTGGCACCACACTTTTTTAAGAAGAAAATCTGTGTAACACAGATAATGTATTATAATGGTGTTTGGCTTGATTTGGGAAGCGTAGTCTTTGTAACAACCCTTTGGTGTGGCTGTAACAATGAGGAATCCATTTGTATGTTGACTTTGTGTAGGATTTTCCAAGCGTGGTTGTAGTTGGCTTGGGTAAGAAGAATGCTGGAGTAAATGACCAAGAAAACTGGAATGAAGACAAAGAAAATATCCGTGCAGCTGTTGCAGGTTAACTTTTCTAATTTTGTTAAGCCTTTCATCTAGTGAAGTCTTTTAATGGTGCAGCATATTCCATTATAACCACATAAGTTATAAGCTGAGACAAGAGGTCAGTCACACATATATGACAGCTCTTTGTCCCGAGAGCTAGACCAGACTATCTAGTGAGGCAAACACTTAAACTCTTTGGGTACAAAAAAAAAGAACATGGAATATGTTTTGGTTATGATTTTGTTTGTTTGTTTTATACTGTTCATAAAAGCATGGATAAACTAATTTGTGAGAAAAGAACAGTTATAGAGCCTTAGCAAAAACTGAATCACTGCAAAAACCTGATACCTATGCTCATAGTCCATAACACTCCAGAATAATGGAGGCTTTCTTTGATATGGGCCAAGCTTAATGGAATGAGAACAACTATGCAGTTTAGGGCATAATTGTAGGAATTTATCAAGTGATATTTTTCATCACAATTTGTCAGTATATGATAATCAGCATTTAAAATTATTTTACCACGTGGTCATTTTAGTTAATTTATTTATGAACTTAGGTATCTTAAGTACACTTTTTTCCTTGAGGCATTATATGGATCATATCAGATACCTGTTTTGCTTCTCTGTGCAATATGGCCTACTCATTCTGTACTGTATTTTTCAGTTGGTTGTAGACAGATCCAAGACCTGGAAATCCCCTGTGTTGAAGTGGACCCTTGTGGAGATGCTCAAGCAGCAGCAGAAGGTGCTGTCCTTGGATTGCATGAATACAATGAGCTGAAACAAAAAAAGAAACCTGTAGTTACTCCTCAGCTTCATGGAAGGTGATGGCAAAAGGAAAAGTTGCTTGTGTATTTATCTATTTGTCTCTCTCTTAAATTATGCATGCTTGTTCATGAGAAAAATGAAACTGAAAGAACAGAGCTAGCAGCAATCTCTCTCTTAACTCCTCCTAATCCTTTGAATTTCCTTAATTATTTTACACTCCAGGTATATTAACGGTGTTTGCTCCATACATTTTGTTAGTATGCCATGTTCTGAGGCTAAGGGTAAATAAATGCTGCATCGTAGAAAAGAAGGCCAAGGATAAAAATAAAAGCAAAAATTACTTGAAGCATGGTTACGATGTAAAAGGATTTGCACTGGTATTGCATTCCAAAACTGTGGAGCAGAGTTATCCTAAACTCTATAAATGAATAAATCCTTTTGAGAATTAGGAAATGCTGACAGAGACCAGTCCATGGATATGTTTTACATAGTTCACTTGTTATATTTGCATTCACAGAATAAAATGCAAGAAGAAAAGCTTGGCTTTTAAGTAGACCTCACTGTTGCTTGAGAGGAGAAAGCAGACATTTCCATTTCCTGTACAGTCAGCTCTGTCTTTTGCTAGTGAAATACTTGAGTGCACTGTGAAAGGAGATCCAAATTCCACTCTTATCATGTAACCATACTTCAGCAAAGTGAAAAACAAAATTGAAGGCTTTATGTGGTAAATGAAAACTTTCAGGAGTGTTGCAGTTAATGTGATTACAAATTTTGGAAGGCATACAAACCTTACGTTTAAGGATTGAAGCCAATTTCAGAATAGTAAGGATTAGGACAAGACCAAATGTATTAGGCAGTTTCACACCTGCCTGCTCTAGGATTCTTCTAGCTTTCTCTGAAGCACTTGAAGCAGAGATGAGAACTAGACTAGATACACCATGGATCTCACCCAGAATTCCTCACAGTAAAGGTAATGGAACATTCTTAATTGCCTTAAATTAATGCTGCTGTACTTTCAAAAAGGAGAGAACAAATGAACGCTAGCATCTTTTTTTAAATGTTGGTGATCTTGATTATTACATATTGTTTTGTTTCTTTAGTGCTGGAAATGAAGCCTGGCAGAAAGGTGTTATCTATGCGGAGGGTCAGAACCTCGCTCGATACCTTATGGAGGCTCCAGCTAATTATATAACTCCAATCAAATTTGCTGAATATATTGAACAGAAGCTTGGAAATTTTGCTAGCAATGTGAAGGTCCATATAAGGTAAAATCCCTTGAAACTACTTTTCTATTGAGTAAAAAAAGCTTCCATGCCACTGACATTAGTAGCACGCTCTCATTCTGCTATCAACAAAAGCAAGTGAAGTCTTTGTTGAAAAGGCCTAAAGGTGCCCAGACTGCAGGCTGCTCTCAGAATTAGGTGAGCAGAGTAAGCAGGTACTGTGACACAGCAAAATGATTAACTGCCAATTAGTCATGCTGTCAGTTATCTGCTTAATTGACATAAGGGCTGGGAAGGAGAAAGCCTGGTGAAGAATTAGTGAATAAATTACAGATACCAGATACCTTTTTTTCTAATACATCTTCTTTTATTCCCAACTGTTATATGTACCTTTCCTTTTATTGTTTTTTATTTGGATGTGGTAATTAAATATCCTTTATTGCTTTTTTTTTTTTTTTTTTTTTTTTTTTTTTTTGAGTTTTTAAATTGTTGAGATAGAGCCCTAAAAGCCTTTGCAATTGAATTTGCACAGCTAATGCTTCTTGTCCTCGAATTTCTAGTTAGTGCCCTTCAGCAGAAATGGCTGGTTGCATTAATAAGTGCTGGAGGGTGTTCTGGTGAAAAGGAAAAGACTGAGGAAAATCAACTGTATACATAGTATCTGTTCTGATGGGAGAAAGCAAAAAAGGGGAGGCAACATTGTTAATCCATGTGCCTTCAAAGACACAGTCTGATAGGCAAGTTGAAGGTTAATGTTTCTCATGCAGAAAGTACAGATTTGGTCTTCTTTAAAAACAAAAACCAAACATTAACTTTGAGGCAGTACTTTTCTGTTTCACAAAAGAAATAACAACAGTGGGATTTAAATGATGGTTTCCAATGTAACTAAAATTGAATTAATTGTGTACAAGCCTTCAAGAATTGTACTCTGTCAAAAACAAACACAAATTCCTTGGTCAGCATCCAATTAAAAAAAATATATATATTTCTGTTCCAGGCCAGAGTCTTGGATAGCAACGCAGCAGATGGGAGCATTCCTGAGTGTAGCCAAAGGTTCAGCTGAACCTCCCATCTTTCTGGAGATTCACTATTTAGGAGGTGCTAATGCAAATGACTCTCCCTTGGTATTTGTAGGAAAAGGAGTTACGTTTGACAGGTACGTATGGTGATATTTTAATGGTTTGGGGACAGGGGGAAGGTATGGTTTAGATATTAAAGGATGGAGCTCAGATGGACTGTGCATAACTCAGAAAAGAGATATACACTTCAAACTGTAATCCTGTTAAACACAGAGGTGAAGCCTTGCTTGTACCTTCCTACTATTTATGTTGAATGCAAAGATGCTTTTTCTTTTCCCAGCACATCTTTCAATGCTGTTCCAGTGAACTCTCTATGCAGCAGATTGTGGTGCATTTCCCAGGAATAAAACAAACTTCAGTGACTGAATGGTGTAGAACTGATGTGCTTTTGGCTTGTGAGGGAAAATGAAATTCAGGGGAAAGAAACAAAACTTTTTTAGTCTGAGCAAACTGTAGGATGAAGAATTCATGTACTTAAAATTGCAGTCTGCCCCTGGACACATAGGTCACATTTAAGCCAAGTAGAAACAGTTTGTTCTTTGCAGCAGGTTCTCATGTAGGATAGAAAAAGCAGTTACACATACTGAAGAATTTATTCTCTGAATAAATTCTGTTATACTGAAGAATCTGTTCTCCTTCCATATGCTTGACTTTACCAAATCTACTATTCTTCTTTTGTATGCTCTGTTACGAAGACTGCAGAGTGCATGAGAACTGGTTTGTTAGCCCACTGCAGATTACCTGAATTCTTATGGTGCAGAGGAAGTAATTTAGGTGTATTTTAGCTGAAAATCAGTCTACTTGGGTGTTGTAAGAAGAAACCATGGTCAAGAATACTGATTTTTTTTTTTTTTTTTTTTCATGCTAAAACACAATGATGGACAGAGTGTTTATGTTTATTATTGTATGTAACATCCAACACCTCCATGCTGGATGACATTTATTCTGCTTATTTCAGTGGTGGCATTTCACTGAAGCCATCGTCAGGTATGGATGCAATGAGAGCAGATATGGGAGGGGCTGCAACAGTCTGTTCAGCCATTGTGACAGCAGCAGCTTTAAATTTGCCTCTTAACATAATTGGTAAGTATTTGTGTGAGAATCTGAAAACCTTCATTTTACAAGATTCTCTGTAAACAAAGTCATTTTCTGTATCAGCAATGATAACTTTTAAGACACTGTCTTACAGAAATGTCACAGGCTCTTACAGACCTGCTTCTCTTATTCCCTAGCTCAGCCTCTCGTCTGTTTTCACTTGCTTATCAAAAATCATTACCTTTGCATGAATAAAATAATGCAAGGCAGAATTAAAAATAAATAAATAAAAAAAAAAAATAAGGCATGATTTTTAGAACTTAGAAGAGGGACTGGAGCACCTCTCCTATGAAGAAAGGTTGAGGGAACTGAGCTTGTTTAGCTTGGAGAAGAGAAGGCTCTGGGGAGACCTCATTGTGGCCTTCCAGTACTTGAAGAGAGCATGTAAACAGGAGAGGGAACGGCTGTTTACGAGGGTGGATAGTGATAGGACAAGGGGGAATGGTTTAAAATTGAGAGAAAGGAGGTTTAGGTTAGATATTAGGAGGAAGTTTTTCACACAGAGGGTGGTGACGCACTGGAACAGGCTGCCCAAGGAGGCTGTGGATGCCCCATCCCTGGAAGCATTCAAGGCCAGGCTGGATATGGCTCTGGGCAGCCTGGTCTGGTGGTTGGCGACCCTGCACATAGCAGGGCATTGAAACTCGATAATCATTGTGGTCCTTTTCAACCCAAGCCATTCTATGAATCTCTGACTTGGTTGTGGATAAACCTGTTTTTAATGGGTTTTGCAGAAGTCCTGTTGCTTCGTTACAAGAAGGAATTTGGATACCTGTAAAAGCCATTAGAAATGAAAAGGAGTTAGCTGAGCTACCTCTATGTTTGCCAAAGCTGAGGAGGATGGTGCACCAGCTTTTTCCTTTGGAGAATGTCTCAGCAGAAATTATAAAACAACAAAATAAGCTTTCTGATACTGTTTTTAGTTATGAACAGTGGTTATTGTTTCTGCAGAAATGTTGCACAGTTAGAATTAAATCAGTTGATTCAGGAATTGTGGTTAAAAAACCATTCCCTGATGAGATGTAGTCTGTTCTAGGTTAAGTTTTATGTTTGAAAACTGTAGCTTTTCCAGGTAATATTTTAGTTGCTGACATGCTTCAACCAGTAGAGGGCAGCAAACCACACATCCTCACAAGATTCATACTTAGAAGTATCCCAAGGGAAGTACTAAGCAAAAATCAGCGGAGCAGAAATCTGTGTAATTAACTCCACTGAATAGCAGCGGTTTGCAGTTGTCTCAATCCTTCATGCTTTGGGCAGAACACAGGAGCAGGCTTTTCCTGGAATGGGGGCTGTCTTTCATCCCACTGTCCCATTCACTGTTTTCACATCGACTGAATCATCTGTTTGCTCTTATGGTTGGCATTCTATAGCAATTCCTTGGACCCCTCTTGACATTACACAATGAGGAGAGCTTGAACAGCTCAGAGTTCAGAAGTCTGATTTTTCAGAAAGAAATAACTCCCTTTATATGTGACTAATTCTTCATATATGGAAGACATAAGATAGTACCTCTTGACAGAAGCTTCGGTGAATTTTAAAGCTCCTTTGCTTTCGCTTGCCTGAGTATGTAAAGTAGAAGTAAATCCTAGTGGTAAAATGATGTAGGGGAAAAAAGCTGTGGTGCAACATGCAGAGAAATCCCACTGATTGAAAATTAGACCATGTGACTTTCAGTGACCAGGAAAATTCAAATACTGAACAATTCAAGGTGAAAATACTACTGCTTTCTTAAGTTTGTTGTTTGTTTCCTAGCTATTTTTTTTTAATCTCTTTTGAGAGAGATGCTAGTAATGCACTTTTTTCTTTTCCCCTCTCTCTGAGGTTTGGCACCCCTTTGTGAAAACATGCCCAGTGGTAAGGCAAACAAACCTGGGGATGTAGTTAGAGCCAAGAATGGAAAAACAATTCAGGTATGCCTATGAAACTTGGATTTTTGAGTACTGCGTGAATTGGTTCAATCAGGTTGCATGACTGTAGTCAGAGGATATGCAATGCAAATGTAAGTTATTTACAAATGTATGTTATTAATTAGGAATTGCAATCACAGGTTTTTTTCAAACATATGTTGAAGAGGTTAGACGTGTTCGACAAATCCCTAATAAAAACTGGAAAGTATGGTAACAATGAACATGCTAGAAAATACTGTCAGCTCAAGAGGCTGCAATGATGCTTATAAACACAGGCTCTTAGAATGAGTAACATACAGCTTGCTTCTGGCAGACCTTTGAGGACACTTACCTGCTGTCTGGAGTAAGATGTAAGTGCATTAGTTCCCTGCTGATGTAATCAAGGTCTTTACCATGCCAGCTGCTGTGTACAAGCAGAACTGAGCATCATAAGATCTGTCAGTTCAAAGTACTTTGCCATAATTCTATTTCATATTCAATCCAAGCTATACTAATTCAATATATTAAATGGTGCAGAAAGTTACTGTGCAGTAGACTGCTGATTCTGTGCAGAAGAAGATGGCTTACTCAGTATTTCTGTCTGGATTTCTGTGATTCAAGCTTTGACCTTGAGGTTCTCTCTGGAGTACTGAGTTTGGTGGCATTCAGCTTGGAGGGAGAAGACTGCATGCATATTCCTCAAGCAAGGAGAAATCTAGAAGAAATAGGTAGTGGTTCAGAGAGCATGCAATTAATCTTGTAGAATTCATTATAAGCTTTCTCTGAAAGGGGAAAGATGCAGAGGGGCTACTGATTTATTTTCTTCTTTAGATGAAAAAAGTTTCAAGATTCAAAGAGAAAGCAATATCACAAGGAACCATTTCCTGGCACGCATCTGTGCATCCTTGTGGATCCCCTTCCTTCACAGTTTCTATGAGCCATATTTCTCTGAGTAAATTTTGATTAATTTCCTTGGGCTTGTGACAGTGTAGTCACAATCTGACAACTGTTTAAGAAAATGTGTGAGAAATAAGTCAGTTAATGGGGTGTTTTCAGTAGTTAATCTCTTTTTATTGATTTTTTTTCCACCTGAAGGTTGATAACACAGATGCAGAAGGAAGACTGCTATTAGCTGATGCTCTCTGTTATGCCCACAATTTTAATGCAAGGGCTATTGTGAATGCTGCAACATTAACAGGTAAGCAGTCTCCCTTCCCTACTTCATTTTGGAAGCCAACTTTTTGTTATTCTCATTAAATGGTCTGCGAATTTGTTGTACTATGTATACAAAGTCAGCCTGAAGCTGAAAGCAGGTGAGATAACTTGGCATGTTGCAGGACAAGAGCTTGCACAAATTCTGTTCTAACAACTTGTACAGCTGCAGCATGTCTCTAGGACTGGGGGTATTGGCATGCATGGAGCACAGTAAGCAATATAGATGAAGTTGGGCCTGGCCCAGCTGAGCTGGAAAGGATAAGTCCAGGAGGACCCATGCAGACTTGGATGTTTCTGCACAAAGTTTTCCCGTGTTTCTGTTTCTGGCTGAGCTTAATAGTAGATTCCAGGCAATTATGTCACTCAACATCTTGCCTAAGCACATCCAACCCTTAGGATGGCTCTGTGGTGCAGAGATACTGGTGAAGCTGTGGAAAATTTTGCCAGTTCCATCTGGCACTAGCCATGCTGAAACCAAAATAACTTCTTTGTAAACAGCCTCTTGGGTGCCGGAGTTCTGACCTAGCCAGCACCACTTCTTCCATTTGCTGAGCTATCCCAATCTCCATGATCCTACTTAATAGGAGAATCAATACCATCTTCTCAGGAAGTCACTTCAGTGAAACATCACAGAATTACAGAATGGCCAGGGTTGGAAGGGACCTCAAGGATCATGAATCTCCAACTCCCCTGCCACGTACAGGGCCACCAACTTCTCCATTTAATACTAGACCAGGCTGCCCAGGGCCCCATCCAGTCTGGCCTTGAACACCTCCAGGGATGGGGCATCCACAGCCTCCCTGGGCAGCCTGTTCCAGCACCTCACCACTCTCTCTGTAAAGAACTTCTCCCAGAAACATCTCTTATCTCATGTGCATTTTGCATACTTGCAAACATAAAATATTTTCTTTCTTCTTTATAACTTCATTCACGTATAATTTTAAACCTGCAAAAATAGCACTGTGTATGCATCTCATGAACTGCAGCAACAATCTGTCATAGCTGAAGTGATTGTAGCTGAAATGTGAGCAAACATGGAAGAAGATCAGACAGGAGTCCACTGTTTTGCTTAATAAACAAGCTGAGAAAAATAATCACCTCTCTTTGCTTTAAATCATATTCCTCAAGCTTAACCTGTTCAAGTGTTTAGAAAATTTTTATAGAGAGAAGCAATGTTGATTTTAAGACAGTTGACTTGTGTAAAAGTATTTCCATGATAGGAGAAATGGGTTATTCCCACTCCAGGCTATTGTTTGGGATCCTTTGGCAGCAGGCAGGAAGGAGGACAGCTCCTGAAGAAATTTCTGACATTATTGAGAATTTTGCTTTTTAAATCTCCCTGGGATTGAGTGCCTGAAATAGCATCAGTGTTGGAGAAGCAGATCTGTGGCAACCAAAAAATAACTGTGTACGTGATGTCTCCACTTTAGGCATGGTTTATTATTTTGATGCTGATTAATTTAATTTAAATTAAATTTGCGTATGCTGTGCAACAACCTCTGTGAGTGAAATTCACAGAAGGGAAAGTGCCAGGTGGAAAATTGGATGAGTTCATAAACTTGAAAAAGTCTGATTTTCTATGTAGAAACTGTAAAAATTTAGTTTTTTTTTTTTTTTTTTTTATTTTGAGAAAAGATTTATTGCTGAATACATTAGATTAGGCATATTACTTAAGCTAAAAACAGTCAAATTTTATGAGATCTGGAACGTAATTTTCATGAATTCTTCTCCTGTTAGTTAAACCTTTAAACAACTTTAAAATTTTTTAAAATAAGTGAAAGTGCACTAAAATCTGTAGGTTTTGTGGACTTCAGAAATCATTGGTAGTGAGAATTAAAAAGGAAAGTACTGTGAGGAGTCGTCTGTGTGCAGGGCAATAATTTAAGTCCACCTTTGCACTCACTGTATAACTTACAAGGTGTCTTTCTGTAGGTGCCATGGATGTTGCACTGGGGTCTGCTGCAACTGGAGTGTTCACAAATTCATCTTGGCTTTGGAATCACCTTTATGAGGTAGGCCATCAGCATTATTAACAAATGATAATTTTGTTAATAGCTGCTGTTACTAAAAAATTAGTGACTTTCTTTAAAGAAAGTCTTACCTAATGCAATTCTAATATGTTACTGTATTTTGAAATCTCATAGGAATGTGTTAGTATTGTATTTAATTGAAAAATACATAATTAAGACTCTTAATTGCTGGCTCCTCAGTGATGTTTTATATCACTTTACAGCACAAAACATGCATTGTGATCTTGAGTGGTGTTGGCATCCTTTGACAACATACTGCATGTGTAGAAGCTCTGGATTATTGACAGTAATTAGTTTCTGTTAAAAAGATAATTGGTATTGTTAAAAGCCAGACCAAAAGAGACACTCAGAGACACTTGCAAGTGCCTGAGGTGTGATGGGCACGGGGAGTCTCTGAAGGGGAGGATCTGTGAGAATGTATATTACCAGGAAAATGTATTATAGTGGAGAGAAGTATTCTTTGTATTTTCCTTTTTGACGACCAGCACCAAAATAGGATTCATTTTTGTTTGCAGTGTATTTCCAAATAGCTGACACTATTTTGGACCATAGAAAATTTTAGACAGAGTGGTCGAAGTTAGAAAAGGATAAAAATGGGCAATGCTGGTGTTTATAAATGCAGTTTAAAAAAGGGAGGGAGAGGGAAAAAACAGCAATCCACTCACACAAAAACAAGCAGGGAACTTTGCCTAGTGTGTCACCTTTTCTTTTTTCAGGCCAGCATCGTGACAGGAGACCGAGTGTGGAGAATGCCTCTTTTTGAACATTACACAAAACAAGTAACAGATTGCCCTCTCGCAGACCTGAGTAACGTTGGGAAGTACAGCAGGTAACACTGCACCATCCCTCACACCCTGTCCTTGCAGCCTGCAGCCCAGCTTTTGGGCTGGTGGTGTTGCTTTAGAAATGATTCCTCTTTCTGCTTCCTGCAGAGCTGGAGGAGCGTGCACAGCTGCTGCCTTCCTGAAGGAGTTTGTGACGGCCCCTCACTGGGCTCACCTGGACATTGCCGGTGTGATGGCCAACAAGGACGAGGTGCCGTACCTGCGGAAGGGCATGGCTGGGCGCCCTACCAGGACGCTGGTGGAGTTTGCGGCTCGGTTAAGCCAAGACAGCCACAATCCCAAATAAAATGCTTAAACGTTTATTCTAAAATCATCCGCACTGCCTTAAGGAAAAAAAATGCAGTCTGACCAGGTCTGGATAAGTGAGTGCCCCAAACACGCTTTCACAGAAGTGACGAACTGCACGTTCTATAAATCAAGAACGTCTCACCTGTGAGACTTTTCTTCCTCTGTTATACAGCTTAAAGTAAAAATACGCTGTTGGGCCTACCTGAGGTATTTGATACCAGACCCTGACCGTGGGAACTACTTCATGTCTAAAGGAAGCACAGTTCTTGTAACCAATAAATCTTTCACAGTGTGTTCTGACTGAGAGAACTGACAGCGGGGAGCGGAGCGGTGCCTGCTGCGGGTGCCTTCACCTCTGGCTGCGCTCCTGCGAGCTGTGGCTCTTAGAGCAATGCTGCAGAACCGGCGGTGCGTCACACAGCCCGAGCGCGATGTAGGATAGCGGTTTTGGTTTCGAGAACGGGGGAGGTCCAGTCAGGGAGGAACCAAAAGCCGAGAAAGAGGCGAAAAACCGCTGCTTACCTGTGGAACCGCCTGCTGCCCTCGCTTTCTCCCGTCTCCGCCTGGGCCCGAGGAACGCCCCTCAGGAGCCTCCCGCCTCCGCCGTCGGCCGCTGCGCGCATGCGCGGCTCCGCAGCCAGCAGCCGTGCGCCATGGCGGGCGCGCTGGGCGGGATGTTCGCCAACCAACCGCCGGGACCCCCGCCGCCCGGACCTCCCGGCGGGCCCGGGCCGGCCGGCCTCATCCCGCCTCCGACGGGGCCCCGCAATCCCAACAACACGCTGGTGGACGAGCTGGAAGCGTCCTTCGAGGTGCCGGGGGGGGGCGGGGTGGGGCGGGGGAGCCCGCGGCCGGGCGGGGGTCCGTCCAGGGCCGCGCCCTCACCTCCGCGCTTCCCTCCCCGCAGGCCTGCTTCGCCTCGCTGGTCAGCCAGGACTACGTGAACGGCACCGACCAGGAGGAGATCCGCACCGGTGAGCGCTGCCGAACGGCCGGGCCGGGCCTGGGGGCGGCGGGGCGCTGCTGGGCGAGGCGCGGGGCTCCGCTGTGTGGCTGCGCGCTCGGGTTACGCGCGCGGGTGGGAGCGCGTTGGTAGCGGCGTGGTGCAAAAGGGGCGAATCCTCCTCAGTGCGCTGCGCTGTAAGCCTTGCGCGGAGCCTGCCGCGTGGGCTTGCTGCTTGTTCAGCCACATTGCACGGATTATTGTACCGTGCTTTATCATTAAAGAAAACATGATAAGACTCCTACTGGGGAAAACAAAATAAAAATTCTTGCACCTTTAAGATAAGCGCTGAGAATTTGCAAAGCAGTGTTTGATGCGAAGAGTTAATACATGTCCTTGTGCTATTGACATGTGCCAGAAATCCCATCCAGAAGAGCAGATTTATTCTAGGTGGTATAGCAAAAGGTGTGTTTAGCAGCTTGCACACAGATGCCACCATGGGCCTGCGGTGCCTTTCTGAGAATCTTTTCTGTCTTTCCCTGTAGGTGTCGATCAGTGCATCCAGAAATTTCTGGATGTCGCAAGGCAAACTGAATGCTTTTTTCTACAAAAAAGACTGCAGCTGTCCGTCCAGAAACCAGAACAAGTAATTAAAGAGGTATGCTAAATTGGTTTGCCTGTGTTGTGCTGGACCAGAGATGGTATCCAGCAGTGCAGGTAAATTGCCTCATCTGCACTAATTTTGGGTTTCTCACTGTGCCTGAAGTTGGTAAAACCTGGCTGTTAGTGTAGCTCTCAGCACAAACCTAAGGAAGTGGGATGGGATGCCTGCTGCTCTGGGGAGAACAGAGCATAAATACTATTGATTCATCTGAAGAAACAAATGAGTTTGGTTTTGCTGGAGTAATGATCATAGAACTGTTGGTTGATTGGAAGGGACCTCAGGAAACTTTCATGTCCAACCCCTGCTCAAGCAGAGTCCCCTGGTGCACACAGCCCACAACTGGCCTTTGAGTAAATCCATAGAAGGAGACTATGCAGCCTTTATCACCCACACAGCACAGAAGTGCTTCCTGGTTACTTCCCAATCTCTGAAATATGTAACCTAGTGTATTTGCAGGACCTTCTCACTTAAGCACTTTTAAGCATCCCTTTAAGATCAGCTTGAAAAGTCAGGCTTAGAAAGTTGATGCATGTTAAGCAAGGTTCTTTATTACTCCTAGCATTACTGCTTGTTTACTAATACCTGTTTTGTTCACCCACAGGATGTTTCAGAGTTAAGAAATGAATTACAAAGAAAAGAAGCATTAATTCAGAAGCATTTGAGTAAACTGCGACACTGGCAACAAGTCCTGGAGGACATCAGTGTACAGCACAAAAAACCTGCAGAAATGCCCCAAGGTCCCTTAGCGTACCTGGAACAGGCATCTGCTAATATTCCTGCTCCAATGAAGCAAACATGAAAACCTGATAGTCTTTTTACTTCATCTGCTTTTTGTATAATGTAATTTGTACTACAAATATTAACAGTTAAGATGGAATTAAGTTAAATAAATACTCTTTTTTGGAGAAAAAAGCACTTGGGTTTTATATTTAGGTTGAAAGTATACAGAGTTCCTGTTCAGAATGCTTTCTGGTAGAAGTGTACTTTCCACAATACATCCTGTTCCTTCTGGAAAGGATGGTCCTAGCTTTTCCCTGATTGTATCTTGCTAGTATGATGCAAATACACACAAAGGTTCTTGTTAGGATGGATGGATGTCTCTCTGCAAGTGCTTAATTTCTTCATGTAGCTGAGGAGTAAGATGGGATTCAAATCCTTCAGCAGTTGCAGATGAGCTATCCAGTCTATAACACTAGACTGCTAGTTGGACAATTCCCTCCCCCTGTGTTTGTTGAGGAATTACCTGAATGTTATTTTATTTGCAGGTGCCTTTTTTGTGAATAGCACCATTCCTTCCCAGCAATAAGGTGGTTAGTGTGGCTTGATAAATTCAGTCATTTTGGTGGGTGTCAGAACAATATGGGGACAATGTATGCAGTTCCCATAAATCTGGAAGTCTGTGCCTCAGTCTGACTCACACTTCAGCATGACAGCACTATTTTGCAAGCCATGAAAGTTGGTCACTTACAAGCGAGTTTTAATGTTCGTACTTACATACTATCCTGATTCATCAGGCTGACTGTTACACGTGTTGAAGTGCACCAGGAACATTACATGACAATACTACACCAAACAATTCATTAAGCTAAGCAGAAAATATTTCTAAAACAGCTTGCTTACTATTCTTAGATGTGTATCACATGCTGCTCAGCATAAAACAGCTTTAACAAGAAACCAATTTAAAACAAAATTACATTACTATGCAGAAAAACAGCTGATGAAGCAAGCATATAAACCTAGAGAAATCACTTATAAATAATATCTTCATCTGGAGTCTGTAGCAGGACATTAGAGGACAAAATGAATATTTAATGTAATTGTGGAATGGTACATTCTCTTGAGTAAAAAGTCATTTTACATAGCAGTATTAAGAATTTTGCTTTTTCTTCATTTTTTACAGAGATTATTAAAAAAATGCATTTTGCTGAAATCTGTGCCTGTAATTCCATTATAATCAGATGTAAGAGAGTGCTGTTGTTACTAACAATATCCTTGGAAATTATTTCAATACTTTTCGTTGCAAAACTTATTAGATTAACATTCCCTAAGAGAAAATAAACAGCTCTTCTAGTAAATCTGAGGAGTATGTAAATGATTTGCTTTAAAATGAAAAGTATTTAGTAAACCATTCTTGATGCTCAGGGTCTTGTATTTGGTCATCTTTGGTTTGTGATGGTTCACTGCCATGTGTCCTGTGCAAACAAATAAATGTTAAGATTGTAAGCAATGCTAACAATATTTGATATGTTGGCTTTTGTTGTTTTTTTTTTTTTCTCAGAAAAACATTAGAATCCAATGAACAGATCTGTGTTCACATGAACTGTGGGACCTGTGCCAGCTAGACACAAACTGGGCTAATAGCACTGGAATTAAGAGAAAGGAGAGTGTGAAAAGGAAGCTAAGCAGCAATGGAGGACCTTGATGGGCAACATGTTCCAGTGTCTCACCACCCTCACAGTAAAGAATTTCTTCCTAATATCTTGTCTAAATCTACTCTCTTGCAGTATGAAGCCATTTCCCTTCATCCTGTTGCTCCATGCCCTTCTAAGGGCCCTCTCCAGCTTTCTTGTAGGCCCCCTTCAGGTACTGGAAGGTCACTATAAGGTATCACAGGAGTCTTCTCTCCTACAATCTGAAGAGCCCCAATTCTATCCTTGTACGGGAGGTTCTCCAGCCCTCTGATGATCCAGGCCCTCCTCTGAATCCTCTCCAACAACTCCATGTCCTTCTGTTTGAGGCCCCAGAACTGGATGCAGTACTCCAGATAGAGACTCATAAAAGCAGAGCAGAGGAGCAATCACCTCCATCGACATGCTGGTGACAATTCACTTGATGCAACCCAGAATATGGTTGGCCTTCTGGGCTGCAAGCACACATTGCTAGCTCATCTTGAATCTTTCATCAATTGACACTCGCAAAGTCATATTGGCTACCACTAATCACATCACCTTTATTTTCCATGTACCCTAGTAGGGCCTTCCAAAAGATCTGCTCCATGATCTTGCCAGGCACAGAGGTGAGACTGACTGGCCTGTAGTTCCCTGGATCTTCTTTTTTGCCCTTTTTGAAAATGGGGGTTGTGTTTCCTTTTCTCCAGCTAGCGGGAACTTCACCAAACTGCCATGACCTTTCAAATAAGATGGACAGCAGTTAGGCAACTTCATCTGCCAGTTTCCCTCAGAACCTGTGGATGAATCTCATCAGGTCCCATGGACTTGTGCACCTTCAGGTTCTTTAGGTGGTCTATCTTCATTTGCAGTGCGCAGATCTCTCCCAGTTTTTACCTTTGCTTTCTGCAACTTGGACAGTGTGGATAGAGCCCTTGCTGGTGAAGACCAAGGCGAAGAAGTCATTGAGTACATCAGTTTTCTCCATATCTCTCCTGATATATCTCTCACATCTCCAGTTTCCTTCCAGAAAGGGTCCACATCTTCCCCGGCCTTCCTTTTATCACTGCTATACCTGCAGAATTTCTTCTTTTTCCCCTGTATGTCTCTGGCTAGATCTAATTCTACCTGGGTTTTAGCTTTCCTAACCTGATTACTGGCTGCTCAGACTTCTTTGTAGTCCTCCTAGATAACCTGTTCCTGCTTCCACTGCCTATAGACTTCCTTTTTATGCCAAAGTAAGTCCAGGAGTCCCTTGTTGATCCATGGAGGCCTCCTGGTATTCTTGCCTACCTTCCTCTTTCTTGAGATGTACTGCTTCTGGGCTTGCAGGAGATGATCCTTGAATACTGACCAGCTTTCTAGGGCCCCTCTTCCCTTCAAGGCTTTATCCCATGTCGTCCTGCCAAGCCAATTTATGACTGATGGATTTAAAAGAGTAAGAAGCAGCCAAGCTACTCTTAATGTCCCTATGTATTACTCTCTAAAATACAAATCTGATTTGCCGTGGCAGTCATCTGGCATGACACAGAATGCTTTCATCTCTAAGATGTAGGAATTGCCAAGCTGGTTCCAAGCCAGCACCCTGTGTTACTGTCTTTGGCAGGAGTCAGCACCATCTGCCTTCCAGGAAAGAACTCCACAGCATTCAATGTACAGGGTAATTACTGTCCACTAGGATGCATCTGGGAAGGCTGGCTTTTGTGCTGAAGTATAGTGGTAATTTTTTATGTGTATGTATAATTGTACCTATAATTAGTATTAACTACATATATGTTTAACTCTTTCTTAGAGTTAATTTACATTTGGAAAATCCTAAACACTTAAATGATAGCTCATAAATTTGAAGAAAAAATAAGCTTTTCAGCACAAACCCACTAAACTAAGAATTTGTTTGAAATCAAGAACAGCAAAAGATCTTGATATGGAAGATCACTGGAAGACCACTAAGTATCTGCTAATCAGTTTTTAAGTCTCTAAACCCTTTGCCAAATGATTAGCCTAGGGTCATTCAAATGTCTCCTAATATAAAAGTTCATCTACATCAACTAGGTGCAAAACAAGGAGACAAAAGTAAGAAACACATCTTTAACAGAATTACTGATAGGTACTCAAGGCTTTAAACAGCCACGTTCATTATTAAGCACTCCAATATTTTCAGTGCTTCTCCCTTTGTATCTGGCATGCTTGCAATGACAAGATCTGCTGAGCAGTTATTAGTCTACATTTGCAGTTAAATTCTGGGTCTATCTAGAGAAAATTGATCACATGGAATTCACTAAGAGACAGAAATCTTGCAGCCCTGTAATGTGCTTGAATGTCTACAAGATTCAGAATACAAATTCACTGAAATTCTTGGAAACCACATCAAAATAAACAAATACCTTGTGGAAGTGCTGCTGTCTGAAGTCTGTGCTGTTGGAGAACCCACTCTGAGGCATCCAGGACTCTGGTCTAAGCTTGTTGATTTTGTTATTTGAGGAGCACCTCTTTTTGACCTCAAGTCACCACTCAAAAAGCTCCTTGCGTAGGAAGCTAAATTTGGTACACTGACAACACGACTGGGCACCTCAACTGGTCTCTTCTGCTGCTTTTTATCATAAAAGAAAACTGTATCACACACACGTTTTTCACACTTATAGTATAAAAACAGGTGGAAAAAAAAAAAAAAGGGCAACGTGGGAAGAGCATGCAAAAATGAAGTTTCTCATCTTTTTCTAATTTAGAATACATTCTCTTTCCAGGGTATGCTGTAAGTATCCATGGGGTTAGGTAGTCTGATTAAAACAACCTGTATATTTGACTTTGAGGTTTTAGATATACACAGAGCTCAGTTAGGTGCTGACCAGGGACAAACTGCAAATAGCACGAACCAAAATTCAAAATCCTTCTTGATACATACAACATCAAAGTAACTTCCAGTTACTCGCAAACGATAGTAGTGCTTAACCCAGTGGAAGACTGAGCTGCTTGAGAATCCACTGCTTTGTATTTGCTTAAAAACTTGTACCAATGCACTTCTGCTGAGTTTGTTTTACTCAGAACCTGCTCACAGGTGAGGCTACTGGAAAGAATTCTACTGAATAACATTACTATAGGTTCTGGTTTTCTGTATGACTCGAATAGGGGCAAAACATCATGATCTGTAATTTTAATTGAATTACCTATCTTACCTTCATAGGAGTCAAACATCCTGGATTAGGGGTGAAAGAAAAAGATCGATTTCTGTAAGATTCAGTACTGGCTAAAAGTGAATGCTGAAATTTTCTTCCTTCCTGATGGAAAAGAAATTTATATGTCTCTTTGGTGCGTAAACATATTTATGTTAAAGACTTGAAGAGCAGAGAGAAAGTATCAATCTGAAGCAATGTGCAAAACACTGAACAGTGCCTTCAAACAGATGCCAAAATATGTACGTACATGTAAAAGTATATCTTACCACCAGCTGCTTAATAATTTCTTCTCTCTCACTTAGTTTATCTTGCAGGCAGCTTATAAGGTGTATATCTTCTGGTCTGGACTCTGATTTTCTTGTGTTTTCTTCTAATTTTTTAAGCCTGTGTCAAAGAAAGGATGCAGACCAACAAAAATTTTCCTTAGGCCAGGTTCAAGAGATACCTGAGTTGTAGTTTAAATTCCAAGACAGGGACATAGTTAGAAGTCTTCAATAGAACAGTACTTTTAAAAACAGGCATGTGTGCATAGATTATATATAAACACAGAACACTGTGGAGTTCCAAACCAAATTGCCTACCCACTGTAAAAGCCAGCCCCAGTAAAATACTAATTAAGCTTGCACATCATATTAACTATCTAGTTTACTAATGAGAAAAATCCGTACTGCTCTATCTATTCATATCTGTATCTATCTACTGTTCTCTTTCTGACCCAATAATTTTAGAGTCTACACTCCAATTCCAACCATATTTGACTGAGGTCTCAGAAATACAAGTTTCCTATAACTTTTATTTTAAAAAGAGGTTTGGATGGTCTGCTGCTTTTGTGAATCCTGTAAGGCAAAGCCTATAGTAAAATTTCTGTTCTTTAAAATGCCTCAATCAAGGAAAAAGATTCAAATTAGAATTTACACCTTCTTAAAGATGGTGTGGAAACATGTTTGATTAAACCATGAAAAAAACAACCGATTATTTCATCAGCCAATTTTATGAATTTTGCTGCTCAAAAAGCTGAGAGCCATGAAGTTCATACAGTGAAGCCATACAGTGAAGTTAATTACAAAATACCAACCACGCTCTTTTTTTTTTTTTTGGGTGAGAGGAAAAATTTGAGTAAGAAAAACCCCAATATTACACTTTTGATTTAGTGTATCTCACAGTTTAGATATGAACATATAAATGTTCAAAGACCTACCTACTTGCAAGAAGGTCTCTGCTGGTGCTATGCTGCACAGCTGAGATTTGAGTAAATGACAATGCCAACAACAAAGGCTATTTGTGGGAGGCCTCTAACATACAGCCTGAAGAACCACAGAACTACTTACATCCAAAAAAGGCTGCAAAATGCATCTATTTACATAATAAAGTGGTGCTTGCAGTTCAAGAATATCCTGAGAAATTTGCAAGGGAGTGAGAATGAGCAAGACAATGGATCAAGGCCTCTGGAAGCATTTGTGATGAAGATGATTTTATACATCATAACATTGTAAGATGCTAAGTGCAGTGTTTAATTTATTATTCTAAAACTGTATAATGGTTTCCTTTAAACAGTAATCAGTTTATTACAATGCATCTGTATTTTTGTGTTTGCAAAGGAAAAACCTATACTTTTTTTTTAAACTATTTTTTTAAACTATTTTTTAAAAAACTATTCCAGTGCTCATCATATTCTACCCATAAGTAATTTAAATATATACATACAGTAGGAATAATAATAATTTAAAACAGAACTCATTGCCAGTATGAGTCACAGCTTATTTAAATGACATACCCAGCTTCTAAGGAGAAGCTCTTTGCTTAGAGATGTGCCTGAGTGTTGTTGAAATCGGATAACAGTTTTGTTTTCCTTCTGGTGATCTTGTTTTAGTACATCCAGTTCTTTTTTATGTTTCATTTCGTGGTCTACTACCAGTAACCTTTCATTAGTATTAAAATATATCTGAATTCTCATGTTTTAATACTAGTTTATTAGTAGCATGCAGTTTTCAGGTCTTTTAGTGACTAGAAAAGCAGCTAACAGCACAGCTCTGGGGCTTCTGCTGACTGATCTGACTTCATCACATCACTTGCAGTCTGAGGCTGAACCACACTAACAGTGAGAAAGAGACAAGTTCTTTGGAGAAGAAGCACTTGTTCTGCAACCTTCAGGACGTGGAGGGGTTTTTTTATATGATAGTAGTGGCATTCTGTCTATGGTTAGTTTATACATCAAACCTAATGGTCAAGTGTGACAATAAAATATAGGAATTCATATTAAGTAAAATTGTATTGGAATCTCTGAGATTTTAAGATGAGACTTTTATGCTATATTTTGATCCCATTCTAAACATCCAACATTCTAAAATCCACCATTCTAAACATAGCAAGAAACAGTATAGAAATGCCTTCACATTGTCTTTAACAGACAATTTATTTTGAAAAATACTATTATTTCATTAGCACCATCAATCGAAAACTAAAAATGCCCAATACTTTTTTGAGCCCATCCATAACATTGCTTTTTGTTGCCAACCCCCAAGATGAAATACATTTACTGAAGAATCATATTATCTTACTGCCTTTTGTTTGCTACTGTTTTGTCATACCCTAGAGAAACTTTTTCATTTGGGGATTTGTTTTCCCATTAAAAACAAACAAACAAAAAAAACCTTTCACTGTTCTGATCCTAATCCTTATAGAATGTTTCTGTCCCTGAGGTGGAATTCTCACAACTGAGGAGAACAGAAAAGATTACTTCAAGCAGATTACTGGCTATACTTACTTGGCAACAGTAGCAATCTTAGTTTTAAATAATCAGATACAAAAATTTGGCAAATTTTGCAGATAAAAAGCCACAATGACTAGAAACAACTATGTAATTTAACAGCAGAAACAAATATATAACTGAAGACAAGGTCACTGTTGTTAAGGTTACAGTAAAAAGCTGTTATTTTTATACACTTACCAATTTAACTATTGCCTTACCTAAATTACTGTCCCTGCAAAAGCAAAACAAGACCTGCAGGCTAATGTTCCACATTTTCTATCAGTTAATCTCAGAACAGCTGTATCAGATGCCTATGACCATTTGAGCTCTTTGATTTTCTCCTCTTAGTTGAAGGATTTCTCCTTACATAATTCCCATTAATGCTGCTGCTGTTTACTACAGTAGAGCTACACCATCTATCCCCCTGTAAAGATTATCCTCCAGCCCAGCAGCTTTACCATTTTGAGGCCTTTTAGACCTCATCGCTGACATGTGACTAATTCTTCTCTTCATGAACAGAAGCTCTCAACTCCTCCAAGGCAGCTGGAGGGCACTGATGAAACTCTGGTTGCATTTTTTTCTGTTGATCTTGTTTCAAAAGCTTAAAATGAAAGATGCTTTCAAGTATTCCTCCAAAGAGTGCAAAGCAAAAAACTTTCTCTCTCATTCTTTAAATATCCACCAACTGGTAGACAGCAATAGAATTACTCTGGCCACTCTGACAGCCTGCAGAGAGACATCTTATCCCTTGAGTGCATTTCTCTAGACTATGAAGCACATAATTTAAAAGCTCCTTTTATGTATATAGCTGGAGTAGTGAGGAGCATACATTCCACACAACTGCAGAAATGAATTGTGCCAGATCCCTCAATCCCTTTGCAAAGAGAGTGTGTTAAATATTATGACCTAGAAACTTCAAAGGATTCAATGGCCATAGAAATGTATTGGCCAACTGCAATCTTGTTTCCCACATAAAAAGTAAGTACTTCAGTTTCTTGTGAGGACATGGGGACACTGCTACTACTGCAACATAATGCATGCTCTGAGCCTGTGGCTCAGGATACTAATAGGATGCAGTCCACCTTCTACAAAGACAGGCAAGACTATGAGTTTGCCCTTCTGTGCCCTGACAGCATGTTACAGGTTCAGACTTCTACGAGCACAGAGGCTCTGTCAGTTTCTGCTCTGACTGCCCTCACTCTGCAGGGCAAAGCTGGCTGCTACAGCCATACTAGAGTCATACAGAGTACATACAGCATTCTCAGGTGTTGCTTTTACCATTGGTTTCAGCTACAGAGAATGGATTTAAAAAACTAACATTTATTCTCAGAGACTTCTACATTTTTTTAATAGGTCTTGAATGACTTTGGGATTTAGTGTTTCCAATTCAAATTCAGTCAACATTATGTGGCTTTTTTCCTGTCACTTCTGTGAGGCCACACTGAACAAATTTCTCTGTGATGTAGAACTGAACAATTATTTCAAGTGCTTTTCAGTATGGTTGGAAAAAAGAATATGATACTACTGGTTTTGCAGAACTCCCAGCATCTATAAGTAAAATTAGTACTTGAGAAAAGAAATTCTAACATCACAGTTAGAACATCTCTAATGCTAGCTTCAATAAAAGACTCCCTAGATATCACTGTGAAATGAAATTAAGGCAAACCTTTTGTGTTGTCTCTCCTTATCCTGAAGCTGTGCAGATTCTTGCTTCTGTGTCTCCAGCTCAGTACTGAGTAATTCCATTGTGTCTTTCAAAAGTAAGTTCTCTTTCTTGAGCTCAGAAATTTCACTCTGACATTTTTCCAGTTCATCATGAAGAGATCTGATCTGGCTCTGGCTGCTTCCTTCCTAAGAAAAAAAGAAAAAACTATTTATTCATAGCCTCTTATTATTTAACCTGAAGACCTCACTAGACTTGCGTGCATTGATTTTGAGTGAAGTGATTTATCAAATTTATGTGAAATTCTATGTGCATGACAAAATCTGTGATAACATTTTCCAAACATGCATTATATTCTCCATAAAATATATATTTTTTGTAATGTTCATTCATTTAATTGTGTTGAAGACTCAATCTTTAAATGGAAAAAAGTCTGCCTATAGGGAAAAGCTGATAAGCAAGGTTAACATTTTTAAGTATGACATGAAGAAAGGAAACTGACTGTATTTCTGCAAGATAATGTTATTATGCTTGGAGAGAGAAAAGTGATATTATTGCTTTCAGAAAACATAATAAGATAATGAAGTAGGAATTGGATTCTTGCCTGTTGCTTCTTCAAGGTCCTCACACTCCTCAACTCCATTTGGAGCTCTTCTATTTGTTTTTTGAGATTAGTGCATGATGTTTGTTGCTCAGAAATTTCTACCCTTAGAGATCCTAATAACAACCAGAGAGATAATAATTAGTGCAGTCAGAGCCAGGTGGGCAGGGGAGGCAGATGTAGACAATGTTGATGCAAACATTAATACATTACATTTTGCTTTCTCCCTTGGTGCCTTTGCCATTAGTAAACAGTAATAGAAAAAAGGAGCACACCCTCTCTGGTAAAAGGCAAACCTATTAATAGGCAACTCAACTAAGCATTAGCACAAAGATGCAGAGCTACAACTGCAACAACTCAGTGTCAGAGATGTAAGGTCTGTGTCAGCTGTTTTTCAGACTAAATCACTGTAATTGCTTCTTCTAACCTTGGACTTAACTGCCGCACTCTTGAGCTTCATTGTAAAGTCCACTGCTGTTTTACAAAAAGCCATAATGAAGGCTGAGAGCTCTGTGTTATCGAAATGCAACACTTAAATAAGCAGATCTGTCACGTACTACTATTTTGTAGACTGTGTAAAAGTTTCAGGATGGATCAAGTACTAGGATAAATGTTTGCTTCTCTCATTCTTACAATTTCCCTTGAAAAAGCAGAACATAAATTATCTATTGAATGTATTAACTTTAGAGAGCAACAAATCTTTCTAATAAATTTGAATGACTGAAAAAAAGCAAGAACAGATCCTCTTTATACTTGAAGTACTTCTAAACTATTATTTCTATAGTTAAAAAGCATTTTATAAATGAGCTTTAATAACCTGAATGTAGGCTTGGAGATATTACACGTTCTCATATGCAGTGTTCTGTTTAGATCTGAACTATTCAGGGAACTTTGAAAACTGAATAAAGAATATGTATGGAGCCACAGATCTCTACTGCTGAACTCAGGAGAAAGACCTGAATCACATATAATAATTCTCCACATAGAAAAAAGAGGAAACATATATACTAACTACAATTTTCCTATTCAATACATCCATTATATATACTTGTATGCTGTATACAAGCTGCTGACAGCATAGTGAGGTCAACAAACAAAGGCTACGTATGTATTACTGGAAGTGTAGGGTATGGGAAAGGAGATGATCCAGAAAATGGGAAGGAAAACGAATGGGTTGAATACCAGCATTTCAAAGCATATCATCAAGCAGTAGGAGCTGTGTATGTGTAAGACATTATACCTAGCAAGAGAGTTTGCTGCTTCTGTATCTGCTCGAGTTCATCCTGTAATTCTTTCTTTGCTCTCTCTTCCAAGGTTTGCATTTCCAGCCTATGAGACTGATGTTGGATTTTGAAAGTCTCATTAAACTCCTTTTTCAAACGCTCTTCTGCCTCCTGTAAGCAAATACCCCCCCAAAAACAAAGTAGTCAGAGCCTACATATCACCTTGTTGGTTTACTTGTAAACCTGGATGAATCTGGTCTTTCACTGCAGAACTTTTATTATTTTCATCATCATTTTATGTGACACTTCATCAACATAAGAATAAAAATGACCAGAAAATGAAAAAGAAAACTTAAAAGGGACAAGATAAACTATCACAATATCTTCTATTAGATTTGCTGTGCAAAATGAAATAATAACACTGACATACTTATTTGGCACTATAAAGATGTTTTACCATTCACTAAAGTCCCAGATTTGACCTGAATACCTTTTCTTATCACACTGTGTCAGACAAAGGCTTCTATCTTTCATTTAGTCTTTCTTGGACAGAACTTCCCACCGTCACTGGAAGTGCTACTGATACATTGCTGGAGTAGTTGCTCTGTAGTGGCTCTGAGAACAAGCTCCTATTACCAGTTTCATTTTTACTAGCTCCTGTCTCCAGCTTGTTTTGATAAAGCTGGGATTTGATTCTCAATATGTAAACAAGATATTAAATCATTTTTATAGGGGTTTTACCAAATGCATTTACAAAGGTTTTCCCTAACGTATGTAATATAAAAAAGAGACATACTAAATCCATGCTACAAGTGCATGTAGATTTTTAAGCTTTTTTTTCCCACTTGAACAGCTACTTACATTCAGTACCTCATTATACTGCATTAACATTTTGTCACTGAAATAAATCCCCTTGAACCTTTAGAAGCTTTCGTTATCTACTTATAGAATTCATTTCTTGAAAGCATCTAAGCCAATACTCATTGCTATACATGCATACTATACTTCTTTTACACTATTTATATATAAATGAATAATAGATGAAAAATAATAAAAAGTGACTCCTATTAATATAACACTTAGGAATTCCCTTGTATTTGTGAAGCAGAGCACACCTAGAAGAGTTTACATTCATCCTAGCCTAACTATAGACTAGGATACAGTATTTTATAGAAATAATTTCATTCATACTGTGATCTCAGTAAAAAAAAGTTAAAATGAAAACACCACCACCACAAACCAACAAAAAACCCAACCCATAAGATAACAAGGTTTCAAAATCACAGAATAGCTCATTATGAGCCACAGTGGCAGCATATAGTTAACAGGTACAAAATGAGCTCATACTCAGAGGTTTCTAACATTGTTTAGCCCATGCATCTGTTTTTCTAACTCATATCTCATAAACTGACCTTGAGTTCCTGTTTTTTGTTTTTCTCCAACATTTTTAAAACTTTCTGATGTGACGCTTCCAGCTGCAGTTTAACATTCTGGTTTTCTTTAATGGTGTTTTGAAGATCCTGCAAAAGCTTTTCCTTTTCTTTGCTGGACTGCAGATTGTGTTTCTTCAGTGATTCCTTGAAATTATCTGCTTGTTGGTCTAATATTTGCTTCAATTGAGCCACCTACCAGAAAAGCAAGAAAGGATTAATGGCTACACTAACAATGGAGAAGAATTATGTAAATCTGAGTAAATTCTATGATTTTGTGATGATCCGTGAAAAATAGTTTTCAGTGAAGAAGGGAGCTAAGTGATTTTTTCCAGATAGCCAATATAGTAATCCAGAATGGTTTTACTCAACTGAAAATATTCAAAGATAAATTTTAAAAGCTTTTTTTTTTCATAGCAATGCTATTTAGTAAGAAACTTTGAATTCATCATTTGAAACATATCATTTAGAAATTTAACTTTGTTTCTTTATTTAAAACGACAGCAACACTTCAAATAAAACATTAATTAAAACTTACAACTTAAAGACACTCTTGAATTTTCCTTCAACCTTTCGTTGCTTTTTAATTTGATCAACAAGCAGAAAGCAAATGATTTGTGCAGCTTTAATGAGTACTTAAAAAAAAACCAAACAACTGAAATCACTCCTTCCGAAGAACATCTTGAAGCATTGGAAGCAAGAAAAATACAACGCTTCTTAAAGTTCTTTTGGTAGGCAGATACCCCATCAAAGAGAATCTGGTGAAACAATAACATACCTTTCGCATACACTGCTTTTTGTCCATCAAGTACTTTTCTTAAATTAATTCTTTTCAGATCATCTTCATCTTGTATACAGAGCCCATAGTCCAACTGGCACAACTGGGGTACAAATCTGGAGGCAGGCTTAAGACTGAGCTTATTGTCAGCATTGAGATGTAGCTGTGAGAGTCCATTTCTAATGCAGTAGACTAGAACTAATGGAAACAGGAATTCTGCACATCACACCAGCTGTTTTTTTTTCCTTCCTTTCTTAGCTTAATTACTAAATACAGTAGACATGTCCGTAGTAGCGGTCACAAAAGCAGAGCTCTCTTTATAAGAATAATGTTGTGAATTTTATATTTTTTCAGGGGGAAGAGAAGAATGAGTCTGCTCTCTTTCCTATTCAGTAGGTTTTTAAACATTCACCAGCAATTTGTATTTGCCATCCTTCCTAATTTCATGAACATCCTGAACTTTCTTAGAACCTCAGAGTTCTTTTGCATGAAAGGAAAATGCATACCTAGTAAGGTCAATTCACATTCTTGCTGCTGTATCTTAAGCTTCCAAGTCTGCTTTCTCACTTTCCATGCCTCCTACAAAACCTTTACCTCTCTTTTCTTTTCAGAAGCATGTGAAAGAGTATATGTCTGTACTTCATGTTTTTCGTACTTGTACTTTCCAAACATAGAGAAACTGAAATCAAACTGTGAAAGGGAGAAGTTTGCTTACAATTTCATATGATTCAAATGATAAATCACACACTGCTCATATTACTTTAATGGTACAAATTACATAACACACATCTACAAGTTGGATACAGATTATAAGCGGAGACTCCTTCACGTTCTTGCTTTCATATTAATACATGTTCTTTTTCTCATCTTCAGTATTGCCTTGATTCCCTCCTCCACCCCCCCATAAATTGCAAACAGATTGCTAATTGAGGAAGCACTTAAGCTAGTTAAACAGTTGTTTGTAACTTCAGCTACACAGTCATGGTCCCTTCCGATGCAGCATCACAAAATCTGAATGAAGCATCATTCACATTTCATTCTTACAGCGCATTCCAGCGTATTTTGTGTTACACACAAAAACAGGAAATACACTGTGCAAAAAGCCCTTACTTCTCACTAACTTTTTGGCCACAGGCAGCATTGCACTATGTAAAGGGAGATAAAAACAAGTTATGCCATATTTCCCCAAATCCTAGGAATACGTTCTCATGATAACTAAATATATTCTATTTTATGGCTCTTTTCTTCCTAAAGTCAGTTGAGCATGCTGACTTCTTTTCTCCAAAGGATATATTCTCCTTCCCTCTCTTGAGGCCCTTCTCCATTCCCAGATGGACTGCAGCCCCTATTCAAGTACTCTCAAACCCTATACTTCTCACACAGGTTCCCTGCACAGACCAGTGAGATCTACAGAACAGTGCAGAGAAGGCTCAAAATGCTGCAAAACAGCTATAAGTGAGTCGCTGTTCCATTTTTTGAGTATGGTTATGGCTGTACAACTGCAGTTCTCTACACAGGCCAGTTTACTGTACTACTTCTACTTAAATAAATTTGCTCTTTCCTTCAAATCAAAGTCATTTTTCTTTTTCCAGTTAATTGATGGTGGCCATTACTGATCATCACTAATCTTAAACTTTTTCCCTTTGAACTGCCTCCAACAGTCTGCTCACAAAGGACCAAACCAGTATTGTGGTTAACACTGATATCCTTTACCAGATGGGGCAGTGCACTATATTTGAACTTCAAAGTTTCTTAGCTTATCACTGATATTTCATGTTCTGAGATCTACAGCAGTATCAGTAATTTAGACACGACAGAAGTCTGCAAGCAGAGATGAATTTTGTTAACAACAACCCTTTAGCAAACTTGGGAAGCTTTTTTCTTCTTGGTGGAAAAACTCAGCGATCAGTAAAACTTCTTGAGTTGAATCAGGCCAAAGGAAGTGTTTTTGAATGTACAAGTCAAAATGAAAAGTTAAAACACATTCCCGTCAGACTGAATTCAACATATTGTAAACTTAAATTATTTTACCACCTACATAGAGGCCAGTGACTTTATTCACAGCACACAAGGGAATAAAAGACAGCAATGTTGGTTCTGCTGTGCATATGTAAGAGAGAAAGCAAGCAGGGAGGCACAGGAAAAAACAAGGGCAAGAGAGCATGTGCATGTACACTGAATGCAAGTGGGATACTTACCCAAGTGATGGAGGCCTAGGTTGTCCAATGACAACTTAACACACAAATGAAGAAGTGGCAACACGAGACATGATCTTATAACCCAGTGAAAAGGGAACACTTTAAATGGAGAGAAAGCTGGCAGAAGGGAAAAAAAAACATGATGCCCAGCTCCCCCACACTTCATGGGAATGCTAGGTTGGTAGACAAGAAGAAAACAAACATTCCTTCACCAACTGTTATGTGAATCACGTCTTTTTCTTGTTCTTTTATAAAAGCCAGAAAATAAGTTTTACCATCTCCCAAACAGATTCAAACTCACTTGGCATTTTTAATTTCCTATCTGTTTTGGATTGGCAAATTTGAAAAAAAAAAAAAAGCCATCAAGTTTCAACTGTCCCTGACTGCGAGTTTAAGTCAGGGACAATCTTACATTTGTTTGTTGGCTTTTCCCTTTGTGTCATTCCACTAGTTGTCTGTACAAGAGAAGAATTGATTAACATTAATCTTAAAAATATTGTCTTTAATGTGTCTATATGATAAGATCTGTCTGTGGGCTGGATGTACACCAAAAACAAGCAGATGCCAGAGTCACTTGCCAACCATTACCTTCATTTACAGAGCTGCTGCAACTTTTGTTTATGATTTTCCACAAAGTAAACTGTAAATCATGAGAGGTAACCAAATGACATCTCATTTTGCTTCTCACTGTCTTCCAAGCAAAGAGAAAATAATCAACTATCAATAGAAGACATAAGTTTCAAAATATTTCAAGTCTTTCAGTTTTAATTATTTTATAACCATAATTATATGTGTTTCTTGATTCTCTTGAAGCACCTCTTAAAGTCTAATAGCTAATGGGCAAAAATACTGGGCAAATATATGGCTGTGCATATTTGCCCTCTGACTTCTTTGCTTATTTCAATTCTGTGTTTCCAGATTCTATGAGTATTTGAAGCCTCACTCTACCAGTTCTCTCCTTCTTATATTTGTTGTATCTAAGCATGAGCTCTCAAAGGCAAGATTTAAGTTGGAATCAGAGAGAATATTTTGACTTACCATATCTTTTAAGTAGAAAGATTTCAATACATTGCTAGAGTATGAATTCATATAAAAGACTTAAAACTGTCTTTTGATGTATTATACCACATTTGAGAGTTTGTTCAGAGAGACAAAATAAGGCACTCAGATCCTACTCAGTTTTACTCATACTATGCTGCTGTTACATCAAAACAGTAACACAGTAGAAGTAGTAACAACATAATAACAAAATGCTATTTTATTGCTGTCTTAAGGCTTATTTCAGTTACAGAATCACAGAATGGCCAGGGTTGGAAGGGACCTCAAGGATCATGAAGCTCCAACCCACTTGCCACATGCAGGGCCACCAACCGCCTCATTTAATGTTAGACCAGGCTGCCCAGGGCCCCATCCAATCTGGCCTTGAACACCTCCAGGGACAGGGCATCCACAACCT